GTAAAAAAGTGAATGACAAATTTCGTGGTATAGTGGTTAGTGGTCGGGACTACCAATCCAGCCTCCCAGGTTCGATTCCGGGTGGGTGCAAATCTCGAAAAAATACTGGAAATCGATTTTAATGCAACAAGCAGAGCTATTTGATTAATACTAAGTAATTTTGGACAACAACGATACCTGTATGGGAGCCTAAAACGGATTTTTAAAAAATTTTCGAGGCTGAATACGTGAAAAATAAAACGGCTTCAAACCGGTTGAAATTGATAGGACTTACTCTAGGGCTAATTATAAGACACTTTCCCGTTAACTTTTTTTGGGATCTTACTGTATCGTGGATTACTGTAACATAGAACTTATTCCCGTAAACCGCGGTTTACTTCAGAATTCTCGCACAAAATTTTTAGTTTTTTAGTTAGATATTTTAAAAAGAAAGCAAAGATCCACTCTTAGTGTACAAATTAAAATTTTCCCGGGTCTTCAATGTGTGTTGACGTTATCAACAACTGTCAAACTGCGTGAGATTACTCAGGTGTTTCAAGTCGTACCGCACGTCAATCCAGCGCATTTCCTGAACCGTTTCGAAACTTCGTACCGTTTTCATTGGTTTAAAAGAGAGACGAAATGTCGCGAAATTATCGGCACTTTTTCTCGCCCGAAATAATTGTTTTTTTCTCGAAAAGGAAGAAGAAAGATAAGAAAATGCGTTTTATCGGATTTTGAACGAATCACCAAAAAAGGGGCGGGAAATTTTTTCTTCTATTTTGGATTGACGTGTACCGCCATATAAAAAATATTTATACGCAACCCAAGCCTTTCTTAATCATTTTAAACGTAATGGTGGGGGTTCGAGCTTTCCGCGCTATGTGGTACACAAAAAACGGAATCGTGTTTCACGTTACAGTAATCCTCGATACAGTAAGATCCCAAAAAAGTTAACAGGAAAGTGTCTTATAATTAGCCCTAGAGTAAGTCCTATCAATTTCAACCGGTTTGAAGCCGTTTTATTTTTCACGTATTCAGCCTCGAAAATTTTAAAAAATCCGTTTTAAGTTCCCATACAGGTGCCGTTATTGTCCAAATTTGCTTAGTGTCAATCAAATATCTTTGATTGTTCCATTAGAGTCGATTTCAAGTATTTTTTCGAGATTTGCACCCACCCGGAATCGAACCTGCGAGGCTGGATTGGTAGTCCCGACCACTAACCACTATACCACGAAATTTGTCATTCACTTTTTTGAACTTTTTTTGATTGCGTCTAGAGCAGAATTGTACGCTGATTAACATATCAAAAAATCAGCTGTGGGTTTTCAGAAACAAAGATTTTACGGCCGTTTTTTCGCGGCCGATACGGTATTGCGGTATGTTACAGTAGGAAAATCGGAAAAATAATGATTCCATCGTCACCGCAAGGGTCAAAAACTTCAGTAACCATCAAATCATCGCACAGTAAGGTAAGGTACGACAGCTGGAGGCGATTACTTCTAAAACAGTAAATTGTAAAAAAATATACCTTGATGAAGGTTTTGGGAAAAAATATTGTTCGCTTTTGCTTAGCCCCTTCCAACAGTCATTCTAATGCAGAAAACTCAAAATCGATTTTTTCCTATGTCCACGGCTGACGCACTGACTCAGAAATCGTCTTTTAAAAGACACTTCGCGAGTTGCTGAAGCAGGCTCAAATGGGGGTCTGCCCTAGAATTTGACCCCCACTTTTTTCTGTCTCATCTGATGACATATAGGCTGTTAAACAACTTGGTGAATTTTTTTCGAAAAATTCATCATCACGACCGAGATATGACATATTCATTGAATTTCGTTTAATGTGATATGTTGTGCTAATTTAATGCCGGAACATCGCAGAACTGAGTACACATACGTTATAGGCCATGCTGAACAACTTTGTAATTGACCCCAAGTTTGTCAGGTTACTGTAACATACCGTAACGCCCATGCTCAATCAAAAAATCTCGATTTTCTCGATTTTTTTCAATAATTTTCTCGGAATTTTTTTGCATTTTTGGAATCAGCATCAAATTCTGCATCGGATAGACTATATGCGCATCTCCAGATAGGTGTACAAAAATGTCGTGGCGCAACCGGTAGTGGGTCGGACTACCATTCAAAAGGTCCCGGGTTCGAGTCCGGGTGGAAGCAAAAATGCTCAAACGCGCTGGAAATTGTCCCCAAACAGTTTAAATCTATTGGAACTGTGGTAAAAATAAAGAATAATTAACATTGTTCCCTAAAAAGGCCAAATTTTGGATTTTACGAAATTTTTGAAAATCATGATTTTTGTGGGCCCAAATCTGCCGAAGAAATGAAAATTTTTTGTAAGCGATTTTTTTGTTTAGAAACAACGCATGGCACGTAAAAAGAGTATTCCTCAAAGGATTTTGTTCAATTTTGCCCAAATCACCAAAAAGTTGAACTTTTTCGTTTTAATCGGAGAGCACCGCCAGAACCCAGTAAGCCGAAGTGACGTCATTCAAACGTGGATACACATGTTTTCCACTATGGGGAGTCGAATTTTTAGCAAATTTTACAAGATTGAATACTGTAACATCATGAAATATGTGAATATCTACAAATTTTCAAATGTAAAATTTTTTGTGGGAAGTTTTCGCGGCTATTAGAAAGATATTCGAAGGCAGCGCAAAATAGTGCTCTAGAAAATTGGAAATGTTTGCGCGTAAGGACTCCTAAAAGTCATTATTTCAATTTTTTGTCAAATGCCAAAATACGAAATTTTTTTAGTGTTTTGGGCAAAATTGAACGAAATCCTTTGAGGAATACTCTTTTTACGTGCCATGCGTTGTTTCTAAACAAAAAAATCGCTTACAAAAAATTTTCATTTCTTCGGCAGATTTGGGCCCACAAAAATCATGATTTTCAAAAATTTCGTAAAATCCAAAATTTGGCCTTTTTAGGGAACAATGTTAATTATTCTTTATTTTTACCACAGTTCCAATAGATTTAAACTGTTTGGGGACAATTTCCAGCGCGTTTGAGCATTTTTGCTTCCACCCGGACTCGAACCCGGGACCTTTTGAATGGTAGTCCGACCCACTACCGGTTGCGCCACGACATTTTTGTACACCTATCTGGAGATGCGCATATAGTCTATCCGATGCAGAATTTGATGCTGATTCCAAAAATGCAAAAAAATTCCGAGAAAATTATTGAAAAAAATCGAGAAAATCGAGATTTTTTGATTGAGCATGGGCGTTACGGTATGTTACAGTAACCTGACAAACTTGGGGTCAATTACAAAGTTGTTCAGCATGGCCTATAAAGTATGTGTACTCAGTTCTGCGATGTTTCGGCCATAAATTAGCACAATATATCACATTAAACGAAATTCAATAAATATGTCATATCTCGGTCATGATGACGAATTTTTCGAAAAAAATTCACCAAGTTGTTTAACAGCCTATATGTCATCAGATGAGACAGAAAAAAGTGGGGGTCAAATTCTAGGGCAGACCCTCCTTCCACAACTGGCGAAGTCTCTTTTAACAAAAAAATTAGCAGCAACAACAAGAGATAAAAAAACTCAAAATTCAATGATGAATTCCATCGATGAAATTCTAAAATTCCTTGTAAAAACCCTATGAATGCATCAAATCACTCCATTAGGGTTCACGGAACGCTAAAACTCCAAAAACTTTAGCAAAAATGACTTCTCCATCCGCGAAAAGAGCGGTGGATCCCGCGCTAATGGAGCCGGCACGCGAATCAATTAACAAAACCCATCTTCTTCCCCCCTCCAGGAACATCTTCAGATTCGTTATTCAACGGCGAAAATGTTGGCGGAAACGTTTCGGCTTCCGCAACGGGGTCGTTGCCGTTGTTTTTCGATGACCCATGTGATTTCCGTTGATGCAAACATGATTTTTAACATTAAAAAATTTATTGAAATACTACTTGAAAAATTGGTTGCACCGTGCGGCGAGTAAAAGGAAATGCACTGTGCAAAAGGAATTGAGTGGCTTGCACGGTGCGGGGGATTGTCGCAGGGTTCGCACGGTGCGAAAATCAAAAAAGACTTTTCGCACTGTGCAAAAGGAATTGAGTGGCTTGCACAGTGCGGAGAATTGTCGCAAGGTTTGCACGGTGCAAAAATAAAAAAAATTTCGCACTGTGCAAAAGATTAACCGACAATCCGCACAGTGCAAAAAGACAAAAACGCTTGCACGGTGCGGAGGATTGTCGCAGGGTTCGCACGGTGCGAAAATCAAAAAAGATTTTTCGCACTGTGCAAACATTACCCGGCAATTCGCACAGTGCAAAATGACAAAAACGGTTGCACGGTGCGGAGAATTGTCGCAGGGTTCGCACGGTGCGAAAATCAAGAAAGAATTTTCGCACTGTGCAAAAGGAATTGAGTGGCTTGCACGGTGCGGGGGATTGTCGCAGGCTTTGCACGGTGCGAAAATCAAGAAAGATTTTTTGCACTGTGCAAAAAGACAAAACGGTTGCACGGTGCGGGGGATTGTCGCAGGGTTTGCACAGTGCGAAAATCAAAAAAATTTCGCACGGTGCAAAACATTATCCAACAATTCGCACTGTGCAAAATGACAAAAACGGTTGCACGGTGCGAACTCAAATCTTTATTTATTTTTTTACTTTTCATCAATAAACCACGATTTCACCGATGAAAAAAAACTCAAGAAACGATTACGCTCCAAATCGCAACATTTGAGCGGATATCGACAGAATAAATACTACCCTTTCCTTACAAATAGTCAACGTTTTCATCGCTGAAAATGGGAATAAATCAAAACAAACTGAACAAAAGTACGTCGACATTAATAACACCGGGAGAAAGTCATGTCGACGGACGTTATGCCCGCGTTTAGCGGGGTAATTTGTTACGAAACCGGTGGAATTTGTCATTTATATTAATCATGGGGTAATATCTCCATTTATTCAACAAGAAACAGAGGAGAAAAAATCTTGCAAAGGTCTGTAAAGTGATGGAAGAGTATCAAATCGGTGATTTATTGATGAGGGACGTCTTTTTCCTTCAGGGTCAATTCCCCAAGCTTTTCCAAGGATTCGGATTGCTGAATTTTTTCCACTTTATCCTTTTTAATTTTGTTGTACATAGGCAAATAGTCATCGTAATACTCCTGCTTGCATTTTTCGATTACTTGTAGCACCTGAAATGGCATATTGTACATGATGAAATCAAATTTTATATTATCCTAGATCATAAAAATCATACCAGAACCAAGAAGCCCGTCTGAATAGATGGCAAACATCCTAAACACCGAAAAATCCAAAAATCAACTCACTTCTTCCATTCCCTCTCCAGTCATCGACGAAACCGTAGCAGTATTAAGGTTACTGTAGAAAGTGTCCAAAACCAAACTCAATGAACGTGTAAAGTCTCCCATATAAGTTGGATTGGCTTTGTGAATGTCCTCATGCAGCGACTCAAAGTCAGTCATCCATTTCTTCGCGAAATCCGGCTTCACAACATCCGCCTAAAATCAGATGTCTAAAACAATATAAACCCACCTTGTTGAACACAATGAAGAACGGGAGCTTAGTTCTGAATAAAATAGAACACGCATATAGCATATTGGACATAAAAGTGGTCGGATTTGTCGCACGAGCAGTGTCCACAACGTATGCGATAACCGTAGGGTGGGTGGAAGCCAAGGTGTCCGTAATAATCGAGCCACTGGCACTCCAGGTGAAGGCTTCAATTTGTCCGGGTGTGTCAAAGAGGAAGTATGGGACCTGATCTGCCCTTTTGGCCAACAATTCCAACACCTAAACAAGTGTTTCATGAGAAATTTGGCAATCTTGTTACATTGCAGACACTAAAAGCAGAGGATAAATTTAAAATGCTCCTACCTGATTGAATCGAGTGCAGATCAAGTTCAAACATGTCATAATAGCACCATTAGGGCCCAGGCCATATTCCTTCATGATTGCTTTGTAGTCGACGGTGTCACGGATGTCAATGTTCGCTGGATAATGGACTTGGTTCACAGCTGGATCAAGGTTCACGACGTATGGAAAACTGTTTCGGGCATGTAAATAAGCCGTCAATCTCTGAAATACAAATAGTTTTTAAAATTATTTAGAAAATAATAAGAGCATGAGAGCCTTTAGGACGATTTTATCTTATATTACCCATACCTGAACAAACGACGATTTTCCAGAGCCCGCCATTCCAAGAACAAGCACACATGGTGCTCCAGAATTCTGCTTTGGAGCTTCTGATGATGAGGACGTTGAAGATTCAGCCATAACTAACTAATATTCCACCAGCTTCAACAAAAAACAAGAATTCAGCGAAAACAATTTTAACCGAGTCAAGTCTTCCCTTTCATGTGAAATTGAGTCAACTCTCCCTCTCATGTTTCCTCGTTTCCAACATAACTTTACAGACATTTTTCTCGAGTCTTTCGTTTGTTCCAATACGAGTATTTGTTGTTGATTGTTGAGAGATGAGTTTGTTGGACGTTGAAGACAGTTATAACAGTGATGAAGACGAGGATTATGTGGAGCCAGCTGATGCCCCGCAAAATGTAAATGCAGATCTCATTGCCAAGGCCGAAGAAAAGGAGAAGAAAGTGGAGGATAAGCCAACCAAGTACGTTCTGTTCTTGCCAGTTGTTTTGACTTTTAGGCGAAACTTTATGATTTATATTGTATTAGACGTCTAAGGTCGGATGTGTAAGATAATGTACGAAAAGCTATTTGAAATAAAGGAATTTGATGGCTAAAAGATAATCATGACTATTTCAGAGATGCGGATGAGCTGTGGGCCGATTTTTTAAAGGATGATGACGCTTCCACTAGCGAAACAAAGGAAGAGAAGCCAAAAGAGGAAGAAAAAGTGGTAAAGGTCTATGATTTTGCTGGAGAACGGGTAGAGTAAGTTAATTTTTTTGTTTCTACCTTCTGTCTTTAGAGTTGAGACCAAAATAAAGCCGGGATCTAATCCATTCAAACGTGCGGCACCCAAATCTGGCTTGGATTCGGTTCTGTCCGCATTGAAGAAACCGAAGAAAATGACAGTATTGGACAAATCCAAACATGATTGGGGAAAGTTTGTAGAGGAAGAAAACATTGAGGCCGAGTTGGAGAAGCACAAGAAGAGTAAGGACAGCTTCTTGGACAAACAAAAGTTCATTTCGTCGGTGGATCAGAGCAAATTTGAGAGGGAACGACAGCAAAGGGAGCAAACCCGACAGAGATAATTCTCAACCGACGGTACTTCCTATGCGTATCTCACTTTTCACTTTTTTGTTATCTAATTTAATAAATCCGAGACGTTCACATTTAATAACCGTTTACTTTCAACAAATAACAAACAAAAGAATTTACTGCTTATCTCCGTTGACGATTTGAGAGGCAATACGGTCCAGATCTTGTCGGCCTTGTTTGGAGAGAACGCGGCCACCGGAGGCGTGTTTCTCCACCCATTTGATTCCTTCCAAAGTCTGGAGGGCCTTTCTCAAAACGGATCCGGAGGCACGGTTGAAGTGGTTGGGACGGCTGCCACGGCGCTTGTTTCCTCCATAGACTTTGCGGAGAGCTCCAACACCTGGAAATTGAGACAATAAGCAAATTAGATGCATGATCTTTTGTAATATAAATTTTAGTCAAACGTCCAAAATAAACCATCAATTTTGAGTCTATAGTTCAAAAATAAGTACACGTGAGCAACAAAAGTCTTCAAAAGATCACTTATTTTACGAATATAAAAAAAAGTTGAGCATGACCTGACTAGTAAGAAAATATCTCAAAGAAATCTTCCCAGCAGCATGTCAAATCACAAACCGCTGCGCTAATTCACTTTCTAATTCAGAAATATACCTCCTCAAATCAGCTCCCCTAAAAATCATCAACAAGAACATCAAAAACAACTCACCAGCGGGGTTGCGGATGTAGAGACGACGAGCAATGGAAGCAGTGCGGGTGAAGTACCAGTCAGGGTCAACTGGAGCCAATTCCTTGTGGGAAGCGAGCTTGACGAGATCGGCCCATTCGGGGACCTTGACTTTGCCGGATTTCTTCAGGAAGTCAGCGATCTTCTGAACGACCTCAGTTTGATCAACGTCTTTAACACTAGTTGGGCGTCCCATTCTGAGCTTGAGGTTCTGCAATAAATCCGTGGTCAAAAAGCTGGGTAACAACAAAATCTTCAAGTTGAAGTAAAACCCGGTCAGAAGAAACGCGAATAAAGCATCCAAAAATCAAAATCTAGATAGCAACATCAGACATCTAAAACAAGGTAAATTTTGTCCGAACCCTGAAAATTACACTTCCACTGGCAAAGCCAAGAAAATCACACAGAAAATTGTAAAATTTCGGCAATTTTTTCGAGAAAAAAGAACATTTTTCAGAGTTAGGAGTTTGGCCTACAGTAACGCTTTTCGCGTCGGGACGAATAATGCCAGGCGCTCTTTCGAATCCGAATTTTTTGCGAAAAAGCGGGGAACACATCGACAGAAGCGCGTTCAAAAAAGACTTCCGCAAGCTGCGCCCGAACCAAAACGAGAATTTACAGAAATGCACGCAAGTTTATATTGCAGCGTCTAAAATTGCCGATTTTGGTGTTCTTCGATATTATGAGGCAGTAAGAGGCGTTTCACTGATGGGTTTTCAAGAATCGGCCGTTTAACCAAGATCCATCATGGTTTTTACTACTTTGCAACTAAAAGATTATGGATAACATATTTTTTTTGGGTTTCAACGAAAAATATTTATTGTCAAGTTTAATATAAGAATTCCTTCAACTATTACCAAGTTCGTTCTTGACGTACAACGTGTACATACATGCCAAAACAGCACTTTCCTCGTCTTATTTCGCCTAAATTCTTGCTTTTTTTGCATGGCAGCTCGCGCCCGTGCGTTCTTTTCGAATAAAAAGAAGAAGTCCCATTTTCAGTGTTCCTTCCAATTTTTCTGGTTGTTTTTTGCGTAAGTGGCGTGAAAAAAGAACGCACTTATTCTCGAGTCGTCTCCGTCGCGTACGTAAATGTAAAATGTCTCAAGGTGAGTTCTAATTTTATTATACTAGGCATCTGCAATTATGGCCGACCTTTTTAACAATAATCCTTCATTTCCAGGACCGAGTAGCGATTTGGACTCCCAAGGGTAAGAAGTTGCTAATTCTCTGTTCTCCCATCGTTTTTGGGGGGAGTTGGACTATTTTCGAAAAGATTTTTTAGATTTTGGATAATATTTTCCTTTTTAGAGCCAGCTCCATGCGCTTCTTGTTCGGTGGAAGTGCGGAGGCATTGAAGGCCGCTGAGTTGGCGGCGTTGAAGGCTCAGACCCAAGCCGATGAAGAAGACGTTCAAAGTTCCGAAAATCGGCAGCAAACAGAAAGAGACGATACTAATGTAAGAAAATTTGAATTTTTTGTTGAATTTTAGGTGAATTCAGGCGGAAGATGTAGAAATGTGATGTCTCCTTTTCTTAGAGCTTTTATTATAGCCATTTTCAATCTAAATTTTGCGGAACTGAACTCTTTCTTATATTGTACTTGACTAAAAGGTCTTCTTTCAGCATGGGAATGGCGATGGTCTCAGCACAGTCTACGAAGAATCCGCCGAAACCCCGGTAGAGATTGCAGAATCACAGTCAAATGGAAATGGGACAACTCAAGAAGTTCCAGAGGAAAAGATCGAGGAGCAGCCGCAAGAGGTCCCAGAAGTTGTTGAGGATAATGTCGAGAACTTCCTAGAAGAAAAGGAAGAGACTCAACAAGCTCCAGAAGAGCCCATGGAGGTTGGGGAAGAAGAAGAGAGTGCCGAAACGGCTGAGCCTGAAGTCGAGGAGCCAGTTGAGGAAGTTCAACAACAAGAAGATGGAGAAGATAAAATTGATGAGGTGGAGGAGCTTCAGGAAGATGAAGAAGTGGATGAACAAGTCCCAGAAGAGCCAGTAATTGTTGAGGAACCGGGGGAAGAACCAAAAGCTCAGTCTGAAGAGCCAAGGGAACAAGAAGAACAGCAAAATGAAGAAGACAAAACCTCAAAAACAGCAGTTGAGAACTCCCAAGGCCCTGAACTTTTATCCGTTTGGGCTCAGAAACCCGAATCCGAGCAGATTGAGTCTCCAGAAACTGTTATTGAGCCCGCTGAAGTTGGAGAAAAGGATAAAGATCCAGCTGAAGAAGCAAAAACTGTAGAGGACGAGGAAATTTCACAGCCAGAGGAACCGGAAGAAGCAGCTGCAGGTAAAAAACTTTTATTTTTTTGACTAAACTGATTAACCTTTGTCTAGTGTAATATAATTTTTTGCTTGAAAATGAAATTTTTTGACCTTGTTAGCATCGATTTGATATTAGAATGCTATTTTGAGTCAAATAATTGTATTTTTCAGCTAAAACTCCCCGTTCCACTCGCCGTGGCCGAAAGTCCGAAGCCGATAAAGCCCAGGAAACCCCCAAACCGGCTCCAAGATCAAGCCGGCGCAACAAACAAACTGAAATTGAAGAGAGCGTTGAGGAAAAGGAGGAAGAGAAGCCAGAAGAACCTCCAGGTAAGGGAAATTGACCTTATTTTAGATAATTTCGGGTGTTATTTTAGCTAAAACCCCCCGTCGAGGACGTCGTTCCGTCCCAGAAGCGACTGAAAAGCCAGTTGAACAGCCGAAATCAGCTCCCAGAGGACGTCGCGGCCGAAGATCAGAGCCGGAAAAGGTCGAGGAAGAGGAGGAAAAGGTGGAGGTTGAGACAGAAGAGAAAGAAAAGAAGCCGGAAGAGGTCGATGAGGTAGTTGAGGAGGTCGAAGAAAAACCAAAAAGTGAGGATTTAAATATTTTTTGTTTGGAATTTTAGGTTGAATAATACGACGATTTTTTACAAATTTGGACAAAAGTAGAGGGAATGCTGAAGAAGGAATTAATTTTTGATCCTTTTAGCCTCAGGCAGAACCCCCAGATCCGCCAAAAAGGCCGACAAAACCCCAGCTTCCACGGCCAAGCCGAAGAAAACTCGGCTCTCTCAAGCCGATAAACTCAAGGAGGATCTGAAGGAAAGCGGGATCACTATCGACGAAGACACCCCAGCCGGTGGCCGTCGATCCAGCCGAAGAAAACCGGCAGAAGAACCGAAAGCCGCCGAAACACCGAAGCCCCCCAAAAATACCCCGAAATCCAGAAAAACCCCGTCGAAAAAGGATACCCCCAAGGAAAAGGAAGAGGAAAAGGACGAAGAAATGGAAGTAGATGAAGAAGAGAAGGAGGAGGCAGAAGAAGAACCCAAGCCGACCCCGAGAAGAGGCCGAAAAGCGGCCGAGAAATCGGAAGTAACCCCCAAAAAGCCGGCCCGCGGAAGAAAACCGGCCACGGAACCGAGGAAACCCGCCAAAAAGGCGACGAATTTGAATAAAACCGCCGATCCGGATGATCCATTCAATTTCGACTCACAAGGAAATAATCATCCACAGCCGCTTTTCAGCGTAAGCCGATTTTTGAGATTTTTTGGGAAATTTTTTATTTTTGATTTTTTTTTGTTAAATTGAGATGATTTTTGAATTTTTTTAGGTGACCAAAGCCGGATTCAGCAACATCAAGTTCACGTTGTCGCCGAGGAACAAAAAACCAGCCGAGTATGTTGTAGTAGAAAGAATTGTTACCTAAAATTTTTGCAAATTTAGGGCCAGATATGCGAACACCGAGAAAGCCGTCGCCGAAAGACTGCAGTCCCAGCCGGAAGACCCCGAGGAGCCAGAACAGTGTCAGTTGTCCATCACCGAGCTCAGCACCTCCACGCCGTCGGGGAAAGCCGCTTTGAAGTCGGTGACTCCAAGATCAGCGCAAAAAACTCCGAAGGCAAGAACTCCGGCTGAACCGAAAAGTGCACAAAGGGCTCCTAAGTATGTTTTGAGGGCTTGGGAAGGTGTTTTTTGTTGTTTTAGGGAGTTTCGGGCAATTTCAGGTTTTCGTGGTGGGACCCAATTTTTTTAAAATTTTGAGAGATGCTTGGATTTTTGGAGCTAATATGAGTTTTTGTGTGTGAAATAGTAGAAAATAGAAAAATTGTGGGTAATAGACATCATTGGTTCCAAAAAACCTTATTTTAGACAAAAACTTTGCTGAAATTGAAAAAAAGTTGATTTTTTGGTATTTTTGGAGTAAATGTGTATAATAATGTCTTTATAATGTTCCAGAGAAAAGAAAGAAACCCCCAAGGCTGTGGAGAAACGCGCCGAACCCGAGATAACAGCTCCAGTTGTCCCGAAAGAGGATCAAAAAGACATTGACTTCGCCCATGAACCCTTCCCAACCGGAATGCGAGTTTTTGCCCTCTGGGGAAGAGAACTCTATCCCGCGATTGTGGTCGACCGCGACGGACTCGGCCGTTACAAGGTGTTCTTTGTTGAAGATAACCTCCATCGAGACATCCCACCAACTGGAATCGTCCCGTTAGCCTGGCTCAAAGAGGGCACAAGTCTCACCATTACCAACGATGACGAGCTACAGGTCGATGTGCAGGTCACCAATGTCCCAGCGACGGACAATGTGGAGGAATGGGTGAACGCAATCTTTGAAGTGAAGGATGAAGAAGGAAACTATAAAACGTAGGGTTTTGAGGAGTTTGTAGTGGAAGATTGAGGGCTAGAATTAAAAGGAAAGTACTTCTATGGAGTATGGAGTTACAGGTCGAGACATATATCAAAAAATCGCAAAATTTTTCTGATTCAGAATGTGTAAAAGTTAGCTGCTTAATTTTGGTTTGTAAGGGTGAAAAGTCCACAGAACTTTTCTCGCCACACCACGCAAATGCCTTTTTGATCAAGTTTTTATCAATTCAAAAGTTTTGTTTTGAGCTAAAGTAAACTTTCACAAGCCTTAAAATATCAAATTTGATTAATGCTACACCTTAGTAGAAGTTACAATGTAAAAAAGAGGCGTTGTAGTATTAATCAAAGTTGATATTTTAAGGCTTTTCAAGATGCCAGGGTTTACTTTAGCTCAAAACAAAGCTTTTTAATTGATAAAAACTTGGTCAAAAAGGCATTTTCGTGGTGTTGCGAGACATATTCTGTGGATTTTTCACTCTTACAAAACAAAATTAGGCAGCTTACGTTTACATATTCGGAATCAGAAAGATTTTGCGATTTTTTTGATGTATGTCTCGACCTGTAACTCCATTTACCATAGAAGTGCTTTCGTTGTAATTTTTGGTATTTAACACTAATTATTTTACCTTTAGTTTGCCCTGGTCCAAGCTCTACTTGACCCTGCAACAACAAAAAACAATCGGAGTACCCAAGAATAAGTCGGTGGTGGTGGGTGAGGACAATGTGGTCCCAAGATCTCGCCGATCCCATGCCGCCGTCCCCACCACCCCACAAGAGCCCAAGAAGACTCCCGGAAGAAAACGAAAAGCGGATCAGGAGGAAACGACCGAAACTCCAACAGAACCCAAAGCTAAACGAGGAAGAAAACCGAAGACTCCGCTGGCTGAAAACACACAAGAAGAGGTGGAACTGAGCACGGAGGAGCTGTTCAAAGGCCGTTACTACCTTTTAACTTCATCTGCTCGACGCGCCAACAGTAAGTTATATTGGAGTTGAGGGCAGGTGTAATATGGGAGGAAATTGGTGGAATTTTAAAGTTTTGATTGGGTTTTGGAAAGTTTTGGGTGTTTTTTGGGATGCTTGTGGGTTGGAAAAAGGTTAGAAATGATTTGAACGAGCTGTCTTGATCATCAGGGTTTTCGTGGTGGGACAAAAAAAAATTAAAATTTTTTGAAATTCAAGCAAAAGTAAGCAGATTGGCTTTGGATGTGCAGAAAATAAAAGATTAATGCCGTATTTTCAGTTACCGAATTCAACAAACGGGAGTTCAAGGCCATGATCGAAGCCAGAGGTGGGCATGTGGCAGAGGAAATTTCGGAACTCCCGGAAGACGCGGAGGCCTATCTGGTGGCGGATACCTTCTACAGAACCCACAAGTACCTCTTTGCACTGGCTGCGGATATTCCTTGCGTTCACTTTAGCTGGGTTCAACAGTGCGTTGATCAGGTGAGTCTAGTATAATATAAAAAATTTTAAAAAATTGGATTTTTTCTGTTGGAAATTAGCTAAAATGGAATTTAAATGCTAGTTAGAGATGTTTGAGATTATTTTTTAGACAAGAAATTATAGTATTTGGTGGTGTAATATGATTTTTTTTTCAGAACAAGATCCTCCCCTACCAAAATTTCCTTCTCCCGGCTGGAATCTCGGCCTTGGACGACGAACAGTACCCGTGCAAACCGCTGAAAGGCCGCCTGCTGAAGGGGAAAAGGATGCTGGTTTATTCGAGCCAACCGGCCGCCGAAAACGCGGTCCAATTCACGGATATCTGGCGCCCACTGCTGAACACGCTCGGCGCCACGGTCCTCAAGTCTCCGGACTCTAAACACGAAGAAACGAAGCAGTTCATCATCGATAATGACTTCGATTACATGTTGACTGACAGAAGTTGCACTCCGGAGTTGGTCCAGGCCGTCGAAGCGAAGGGAAAGAAGGTAGTCAGCTCAAATCTGGTCATCCATGTAAGTTTTTGGAGGAGTAGAAGTGATCTTATGCGGTTTGATGGGGTTAGCGGCATTTTGGAGAAGTTGGTTAGGGCGCAGTTCGCGGAAAATAGAAATTGATAAATTAGCCGTAATTTTGGAATAATCTTAAAATACAGACTACTTATGGTCATAATAAAGTTTTTTAGTATTTTTCAGAGGAGTTTTGGGATTTTAGTATATTTTTTATATTGTACATGGTCATATTAGACATCAATATTATTATTTTTTTCAGGGCATTGTCACCGGCGATTGGGTCGACGTCAGCGCCCATCCATCCTTCTCACCCTCCGCCTAAGCCCATTCGAATATTTAACCCTTTTAAGATTAAATTATAATTTTCCCAACTTTTTTTCTTTTTCATTTATATTATATTGTTTGATCTCTTTTCTCTTTTTTTTTGGCTGTAGTTGTTAATAAATAATGATATAGAGAGTAGGAGAGGTGATGTGTTTGGGTGGTATCTAATTAATTTGTACGGTTTTTTGAAGCTGGAAGACTTGCAACGGAATGCCAAAAATAGCGGGAAATTTGAATTTTTAGACCGGAAAAGAGATAGAAACAGCAGGTATGCGTTGTAAATTTGATTCATTTGCAGAAATATTTTTTCTTCGTTTTTACACATTTTCGTCACATAAAACGGAATGCCAAAAATGGCGGGAAATTTGAATTTTTAAATTAAAAGGGATAGCAAGAAAAATTGTACGTTGTAAATTTGATTATACAGTGCGCGACAAAATTATAACCGCACTTTAGAAATTGCTGTAACTTTTTTGGTTGTCAATAGAAATGTGTCATATTTGGCTCCAATATGCACTAATCTCTAACAAATCATGTGCCAAAAAAATTATTTCGGGAAATTCCCCCAATTTGGAAAAAAATTGAAAAAACCAAAATTTTGATGATTTTCTATGCGACAAAATTATAACCGCACTTACGAATTTGGTTAATTAGCCTAATTAAATCACTGAATAACAATAACTAATGTTTAGTTACGTTGCTTGATGCTTCAATAACGTCGACTAAATAGCCGGGAATACTCTGGGCAAAGTTTCTTAACCTCTTCTGGCCAATATTGTGCCAGAATCAGAAAAGTGCCTATTTTAGCTCAGTTACTGTAAAATAATGGCTGTTGGTTAGCAAACCTGGAAGCGCCACACGTTCTCTATCGGATTTAAATCCAAGGAAGACATAGGCGCGTTTGGGATAGCAATTCCGTGGTGTTTAAGGAACAGCTTTGTCGACCAGCTAAGGTATACGCGAGCACTGCCCTGCATTAACGTGCAGCCTGGTTGCCAACACGTTACCAGATGCTTGCCTAAGACTCCCTAGTACCCAACGATACTCATCTGAGTTGATGTGCCCGTCAATCGAAGCGCTCCGGTTCTTGGAAGGCGCTCCAAATCATCAACTAGCCATCTAAAACGCTACGGCGCGGAAAATAACGCGTTTCTCTTCTGATTTTACGTCTGTAATGTAGGTAATGTGTGAAGCCGTCAGGTACATCATTTGGCCATAAAACCTCCATGGATTTGTTTTTTTCCAAATTGGGGAAATTTCCCGAAATAATTTTTTGGCACATGATTCGTGAGAGATTAGTGCATATTGGAGCCAAATATGACACATTTCTTTTGACAACCAAAAAAGTTACAGCAATTTCTAAAGTGCGGTTATAATTTTGTCGCGCACTGTACATTTACAGAAACATTTTTGCTTCCTTTTTACACATTTTCGTCACAAAAAATGTCCCAGGAACGGACAATGTGGAGGAATGGGTGAACCACGTCAATCCAGCGCATTTTCCGAACCGTTTCGAAACTTCATGTCGTTTTCATTGATTTAAAAGAAAGACGAAATGTCGCGAAATTATCGGCACTTTTTCCCGCCCGAAATAATTGCTTTTTGTCGAAAAGGAAGAAGAAAGATAAGAAAATGGTCTTTATCGGATAGTGACATTTCGTTTTGAACGAATCATCAAAAAGGGGCGGGAAATTTTTTCTTCTATTCTGGATTGACGTCTTCTATTCTAGATTCATGAACGCAGTCTTTGAAGTGAAGGATGAAGAAGGAAACTATAAAACGTGGGTTTTTGAGGGGTTAATAGTGGAAGATTGAGGGCTAGAATTAACAAGGAAAGAATACTTCTATGGGTTCAAGGGTGCACACTTATCCCAAAACATGTCTGAGGGTTTTCTCCGATTTTGGCACGTCTCGACTGACTCTTTTACCCCATTATTACATTACTTTTGCTCAGTTGATGTTAGAATACTGTCCCCGAAAATTAATACTCCAATTTGGCGAAAACTTCCGTCCAGGTGTTTATCTCCAACTAATAACACGTTTTCTCGACTATTTTGAGAGAATCTTGTGCTTCTACACTACTAACTTTTTTCTATTTTCAAAAAATAGAAATTTTTTTTTTTGAATTTTCGATTTTCTCAAGAAATTCACAAATGTCGAGGGAAATGTACCTATATTTGTCGAATATCATCAATTTTGTCTCCGTGACCCTCTGCGTTTTTGTTTTTGGAGTTTCGCGAATTTTGGCCAAACGAAAAATCCATGTGGAATATCAATTTATCGTCGCGTTTAATACCACAATCGACTTGGCGTATGCGATCACTTGTTTGGTTGAGGCACCGGTAAGGGTCTTTTTTGCGGTTTGAATGCGGTAAAAGTACAATTTTTTTGGGGAAGTTGGATTACTGTAAAAATCAAAAAAAAATGGCGATACGACTTTTCGGGTCAACGATGTTATGAATCGTGTCGGTTTGTCGTTGTATGCATGGGGAGGCTAGGAGAAGGCTTAGTTAGTAGAAATGTAATATGATTGATCGGGTCCTACACGCCAATTTTTTATAGCTTCTCATCTTTTTTGAGGGTATTTTATATGTACTCACATCAATAATTTCTAGATAAAAGTTACGGATCTTTGTTTTTTTTCCCCACAAATTTTGGTCTGTTATATTTTAAAATAACTCGGGGTTAAGAAAACTAACGTTAGTAATAGCTAAAATTAGAAAAAATAAGCCTATTTCAAGTCTTTGCCGAGTCTCCGCCGAGCCTCCGCCGAGCTTTCGCCGATAATTCAATGGCATTGCCAGGCCTCATAGGCACTTCCAACAACTTTTTTTGAGTAACCACCTGCCCTACCCAGCGTATCAATCGATTTTCTGTTGACCCGAACAGTCGTCAACCCGAAAAATCGGGACGTAAAAAATCGCTAAAAATCCCAAAAAAGAAACAAAAAAATCTCCAAAATTTCAGTGTTTTATTATGACAGACAACCTGTTCTTCCTGAGTATGGAGAACCACACATTCTCCACCGAGAACGACCGACTTGTGGCCTTTTTGGCCTTCACTTTCTGCGGCTTTCTCCAACTTCTCCTTCTCAACATCGCAATCCATTTTTATTATCGCTATAATGTGGTGCGTTTCTCGAATTACTGCTCCAAAACAAAGTTCCTGCTTCTTTATGGTGCCTGCTCACTATGGGTGGTACTGTACTTTGTCACAGCGCAGATTGAAATTCGGCCGGCGAGCAATTACATTGATGCTTTATATACGATTCCCGACTTCGAAACGAATCCACCGATGGTTTATGTGTTTGATTTGGTAAGTGGAAGGGCTAGTGGTACTTGAAATATTCAGTTTTGGCTTCAATTTTGGTTTTCAAATTCAAATTTCGATTTTCCCGCCATTTTTGGCATTGTGTTTTAGATGGGAAATCATAACAAAAAATTGCTTCAAATCACCATAGAACATTTTCTGACTGTTTAAAAATTATTTTTGGCGATATTTTTATCACTTTTTTTTACCGCACAGTGCAAAAAAATAAACTTTTTTCGCACTGTGCGGAAAGATTATGCTGAAAAAAATCTTTTTTTCAGAACTACTGGTCGTCAATCTTGACAACGCTAGACTTTCAACTCACTGGAATGGCATTTTACATCGTTGGGGGCTATTTTGGATTCAAAATTGTGAAGGAATTGCGACGATTAAAAGCGTCGGCTCGAAAAGCAATGGACGCACAGCGATATATGGTGCGAGTTTTGATTGTTCAGGTAAGTGAGAGACAAATTTTTGAAAAAATATTGTAATTGAAAATTCAAAAAAAAAAAATAAAATAAAATAAAAAAAATTTGCACAGTGCGACCGAAAAATATTTTTTTGCACCGTGCAGAAAAATTGTTGTTTGTTCTTGCACTGTGCGGTCCGCAGGAAGAAAGGCTAATTTTTGCACAGTGCGGCCGAAAAAAGTCTCTTTGCACTGTGCACTGCGAAAGAAGAGACATTCTCGTTGCACGGTGCAAGCGGAGAAATTGAGGTTTGACTGCACAGTGCAATTGTAATTTTATATTTTTTTGCACTGTGCGCCTAAAAAACGGCAATATTTTTTTGCACGGTGCAAAAGTAAATGAGTGGGTTTTTTCGCACATTGTAGTCGCCAAAGACGTTCTGAAAAATTTCTCACTTGGTTTTGTCATCATATTTTTCATGATGAGATTTTTTGCAAATTAAAAAAAAATTTTTTGATGTAGGTTTCTAATTCATCTATTCTAATATTTTAGTCAAAAACTGAACATATTTTTTGAATATCAAACTTTATCTTGATGAAATTCTTGATGACTTTTTTATTTTTGGCTGCATTTTCATACCTTTTTCGTACCAGACATCTTAAAAATACATTTTCCGCCGTCAAAACACTAAAATATTCCCTAATTTTGTTGCCATCCCCCTTTTCACCTGTTTTTCTTTTATAAAAAATTTAGCAATTCTAAACATCATGTTTAATATATAACACAAAAACTTTAATCCCCCAAAATTTCAGGCGATTTACCCTTTATTGGTCCTGTTGTTACCATCCACAATCATGGTCAGTCTCTTCTTTTTACACAAAACATTCGTCCCATTCTGTTTTGTAATGGGATTGTCCGTCCAATCCCTGCCAATTTTGAATGCAATCTCGGTCCTATTGTTGGTGCCCTGCTATCGCAAATTGATCACTGGCTCAAAGGTGTCCTCACTCAACACAACTCCGTCCATAAAAAGCCCTAAAAGCTTGTTATTTTTCAAATAAAATTTTTGTTTGGTTTTCGCACAGTGCAAAAAACAAAATTTTTTTCCAGCACAGCTCCTGTTTATGTTGAAATTTTTCCAAGAAGTCTGGTAAATCATATTTCGTTTATTTTTTCACGAATTCTACAGTAATTTCACCATACAGTAGAAAATAAGCAGTAAAGAAACAGTTGACCCAAATTGGTGAGAATGGGTCAAGTCTTCCCAAATTATTTTCTTTTTTTCTCGGATTGCAAACTCCGGCTGAACCGTGCACTAAAATGCAACGATTAGCAGCCAAATTAATTCAAAAGCAACTTAGGCCAGTTGCCACTTCTCTCCGGCCATAGTAAGTGTGTTTTTATATTATTTTTTCTTCGAATTCTAGCTCGTCCGACTATGTTGATGTAGACAAAATCCTGGGCAAAACTTTGCCCAAAGAAGAGAGAAATGCCTTGAAAGATAAACTACAGCTGATCGAAAAGGATTCTTATGACGATGCGATGCCATCACAGACGCAGGAACTTTTTGCTGAGACGGAGAGTTTGCTGAGTGACATAACTGTCAAAAAGGAGACGCAACTTCCCTCTAGGTCCTTTCTGAAGCGTGGAACATCAAGAGCAATGGTGGCTTTGAAGCGCGAAATGTTCTTACGAGCTCAAAGCGTGAGTTTGACAGTTTTATTCATTGTTTTGTTTTTTAGGCCATGTACAATATAAAATTTCCTATTTTTGATTTTAGGATGGACTGTCAGAAGAGGATGCTCGCAAGTTGGCTGACAGCGTGGTGGAGAAGGCTGCTCGGCAATATAATCTGAAACAAGACTCGGAATTAGCGAAGCTTCAAGAGGAACAAGCTCAGGAACAGGAAAAAGAGGCAGAAGTTGATGAAAAACAGCAAAAAATCTATGAGATGGCTGCTGAATTATTTGAGTAGGTGTCTTGCAACTTTTTCTTACAATTGCGGTCTATGTCAGGCAAACTTCCAAACTTTATACCAATTTTTGTCATGTATAATATAATTTTTAGACAAATCTCAGCTCCGGAAACCCAGCAAGCCTCCGGAATGTTCACAAGAGTTAAAATTGAGCCTTCAAAGAAACTCCCACGAATTTTTGGAACTTCCGAAGGGGCTTTGGGCATTTTTGACGCCGATAAACTACGTTCATCCGTTGGTACCTTCTGGAATTCGATGGAAGATGAGAAAGCGACCATCACAAATCTCTCAATGGGTCCGAGGAATGGATTTGAGGAGCAAATTGAATGGACTGAGGGGGGAAAATTGTGGCCTTATCCCATCAACAATGAGTACCTGTTGGGTGATGAAGAAAAGGTAAAATCTTTACGAAATCGCCTAGAATATTAGTCAATTAGTTAAAGAAAAACCTGGCTATGATTTTTGCGACATTATGAACATCCAAAAGCCTTGATTTTCTTCAGGTTCACTTCACGGAGCACATTTTTCTCGATCGATATCTCCAAAAACACAAGCATCTCCCCAAAAGTGGTCCAGTTGCTCATTTCATGGAGCTGGTGGTGGTCGGTCTCTCCAAAAATCCCTATATGACCCTCAAGAAGAAACATGCGCATCTGGATTCGTTCGCCGAGTTCTTCAACACCAAAAGAATCAAGGAGATCGAAAAAATGCATGCTGATGAACAAGCAGCTACACTTTGAAGTTATTGTTCGGAATTTATTGTTTCTTAGGCTTGTTTTTGTTGATAAAGTAGTTTCTTTACAATTTTCCTTCGATTCAACAGATTTAAAATCGAGTTTTGGAACAGTTCAGTTACTGCTGTCCAGTATAACATGAATTAAGCCGGAAATATCAGTGGATCAAATTTATTCCGCCTCAACGGGAGAGAATACGAAGAAAGCGTTGAAAACTGTCCGCCAGAACCTGCGTTTCTCTCCAATGACTCTGAAATTTGTCATGATTAATATAAAAGTTGCCAAACATTTTTCAATTCATGAAGCAAAAGACTTGGATGGTCTGAAAAATACAGGCGGGCCAAAAAGTCTTGACATGTCTGCACAGTGCAAGAAATTTGTCAATTTGTCGCGCGGCGACAAGAAAAATTTACGGTGCCCTGCTTTTTGCAACGCACAGTGCAAAAAGATTGTTTTGAACAGGGTAAACAACGCACAGTGCGCTCTTCTTTCGCACCCCACAGAATTTTTATCGCGCGACAACTTGTCGCACCACTGAATTCATCCGCCCGCACGGTGCAAAAAGGTTGTTTTGAACAGGGTAAACAACGCACAGTGCGTTCTTCTTTCGCACCCCACAGAATTTTTATCGCGCGACAACTTGTCGCACCACCGAATTCATCCGCCCGCACAGTGCAAAAAGGTTGTTTTGAACAGGGTAAACAACGCACAGTGCGTTCTTCTTTTGCACCCCACAGAATTTTTATCGCGCGACAACTTGTCGCACCACCGAATTCATCCGCCCGCACGGTGCAAAAAGATTGTTTTGAACAGGGTAAACAACGCACAGTGCGTTCTTCTTTCGCACCCCACCGAATTTTTATCGCGCGACAACTTGTCGCAACACCGAATTCATCCGCCCGCACGGTGCAAAAACATGTCAAAAATTTTTGGCCCTCCATGATTGCAAAATACCTTTTCCCGCTCGCATTGCCCCACAACCACTTGGATGGCCTGGCAAATCGCCGGGAATGGCATTTCTCCGGCAGCCAGCGGCAGATTCCGATGATACTCTCCAAGCCGACGTTTCAGCATTTCATGCCCATGCACTCGGTCGGCTCGATCTACGAGCTCCGAGGTCAACTCGAAAGCACTCTTATTTTCGTTCCCTTCGACCTAAAAGGTGTTCTGTAAATTGGGGATACGGTAGTATTTTACCTCGATCAAAATTTGCTGTCCATTCCGATGAGAGGCCAGCTTGCCATGGTATTTGGAGGCTGGTTTCTGGTCCATCGGACTTGAGGAGGCCGAAAATGGCAAGTGGAACCACCGGCTTTTCTATTTGTATGAAAAAAATGAAATCTGAATGTTACTCATGATAAAAAATTGCTGAATGGATTTTTTTGGTCCCAAAATTGGATGAAACTTCCTGAGAAGAGCCAGAAATTGACTAGAGGAATTATCAGCGGCATGAAGAGTTAAGAGCAATGAATGTTTCCATCGCAAATGAGATTTTCTGATTTCAGGCTGAGTAACATAATGTCTTTCAAAAGGGATAAAAAATTAGATCCTCTAAAAATTTTTACGCAATTTTGCATGTGGTTGGGATACCGTACGGCCGTAGTTTAAATTTTTTTCATCAATTTAGAATTTTCCCTTTGTCAACCTTTAGGTCCCACCACGAAAACAAAACATTGTTTGCGCCGGCGGAAAAATCAACTCAAAACTTGGTCGAAATTCTGTCTTCGAGATCTCGGCTTCATTACCGCACCATCGGGAAGCGCAGCACGGTATATCCCGACTTTTCCGCTCATCTTAACCATGACCATGCCAGGCTTCGGCCGCTCCGGCCTAAAACGGCCGTATCCTGCGTTGGAGGTAGAGAACACGAAGAAAGTCCAGACCGACCTGCTTTCATGGATCAAACCGCAGGAAACAGCACCCAGAATCCTGAAAAGCATCACTGTTCCGGCCAATTGCGTCAAGGCAGTCGAGAAGGCGACAGCTACCGCGTTTGCCTTGGGATTCGACTATTTGCGCTTTCCAAAAGTTCGTCGGCCACCTCCAAAACAATGCCATTTGGACTGCTGTTGTAAGTTTCGGTTTTTTTTTCTTCTGAAATTTAGGATTTTTGAAACTTTTTGTAAAATTTGGAGATTGATCTCATGGTGAAGGTAACATTGGTGAATTGTTTGGATTTTCTTTGATAAAACAGGTATCCAATGTATTTTCGAGTCGTACTATGACCTCATCTGCCCTTTTAAACAAAAGAACGGCTTTTGTTGCATCAAAATTGCGCGGACTCAGCTGATTTTTCCTTACGGGACCTCCTAGCAAGTATTGTCGTAATTTAGGTCTGAAACGCCGCTAAGGGAGGTTTTTTTTGTAGATTGCTTGAGTAACTGATTATATTGCTCCCATTTTTGTACATGAGGTTATATTCTAGCTTTGGATGTTGTAGATGAGATTATATTTTAGCTGCAGTAACTGATGGAAAGAAGTCAGAAGAACAGTTCTGCAATGATAAAGAGAGTGAGAGGTTTCTACTCGCAATTTTGAAGAGATTCGCGCTTGCATATTTGCCCACAGTCGTCGATTCAACGCCAGAAATTCCCGAGTTTGATTCAGACGAGGAAGCAGAAGCTCCGGATTGGATCAAAGGTTTTAATGGTATGTTAACTTGGTCTTCGAAAATGTAATTAGTGTGGAATGAATGTGATATTGTTCATTTATAGAAGCAATGAGGTATGGTGGGATGGTGGACTTCCCAGACTGGCTGTTCACGCGCGTGAAACGATTGGATGTCTCAGAGGTCGCGGAAAAAGTAAACTGTCGTAAGTAATTTTCAATATTACACCTTTTTTTGGGTTTTAGAAGAGCCTGTCACAGAAGACGAAATTTGCACAGTGCTCAAGACGGACTATGTTCCGACAGATGGCCCCATCTCTAAGGGATATCGATTCGATCCGAAATGGTTTGACCTGTACCCTTGGACGGTCTATTCACCACTTCAGAATGGTGTCTACTGCCGCGTTTGCGCTATATTCAGCAACCCAGCGGTCTATGTCCGAAATCAGAACTTGGTAGGACGACCATTCCTCAAATTCAAGGACAAAATGTTTGGTTCCAACAAAAGCACTCGACTACTTCGACTGGAAAGACATGGGAATGCTCAGTTTCACTTCGACGCCCTCAGAGCCGCCAATGAATTCATCAACACTCTGAAAAACAAATCGCCGATCATTCAGCTGGAATAGGACTCCACGGGTAAAAGTCCTGGTCAATAAATGTCTTTTCGAGTTAATGTAATGTATAATAATATTTTTTCTCTCCGATGTTTTGCCTTTCTCGACCCAATGTTCTTTCATTATTCAATTTGCCGCGTTATTTTGTAATAAAAATTTGTTTCGACTAGTGCAAGATCAAGAAATGTTAATTCACCGATTTAACTTTATAGAATTGCAGGTATAAGAAGTCTCAGTATTATGCAGGACACAAACCAAGAATTTATTACATCTGAAAAATTTGTATGTTATCCATGACATCAGATGGATGTGGCTCAAAAATGTTGTAAATTCAAGTGAGATTTCTCGTTTTTTAAATTAAAAGTGGAGGGATAAGCCTTTTGTAAAAGTTTTCTACCCAAATATTTATTAAAATCTCGATAGCAATCGCTCTTTCACATCCAAAGGCCATCAAGTACAACACTATGGAGAAAGTTTCGAGAAAAGGAAGTGAAAACAAGTGATTCACGCAGTTTTATGTCCCACAAAAGGTCCACAAAATTTTACAACCCTTCGCACGGAACCGAAAAATTTTATGGCCCGAAAAAGCGCGTCACAATGACCATTTTTTCCGAACGCATCGAAGAACAATTTTTCGTTATTTCGGTTGGGGTTTTTTCGAAGCGCGTTCGTTTCCCGCTAAAATACCTTCCTATTGCTCGTGCCTTTCCAGTAACGTGAGATTTTTTCGTTTTCACATTTATTTTTCACAAAAATAAAAGAATTTTGTTATGGGCCCTATGTGTAATATAGATTTGATTTTTATTGTTTATTCCTGGACGTCTGCTGGGATTTTTTTTTTGGAAATCATGAGAATGCACCGCGGAGAACGTGATATAGGGTGTTTCCTCTCGGTTGAACGGCGGGAAATCATTTGGAATTTGCTTTTATAAATTAGTTCCAAGTATAATATAAATAGGTCTATTTTGGTTCGAATTCAGCTGGTTTTTTAGGAATTTTTTTTTCAGAAAGCTCAAATATGAGGTGCTTTTGCTGTTTGCGTTTTCAAAATTTTAATTTGGATTATTTTTGTTTGTTAACTTGCGTTTTAGACTCTCATGTGCAATATTATTTTTTTCAGATCCGGCCGGTTTTTTATCCGTGACGGCCATGGGTAAGCCCCAGAGCGGTTATAAGAAGGCAAGACGACATAAAGCTAAGGTTTGTTATCAATTTTTACACAGGTTTATTGGTGTTTAGGATAACAAGGATCAGCTAAGTCAAGACCTCCGCGATTTACCTGCAGAACTTGATTTCGACAGTTGTTTAAAAATCTACGGGTTATTGAACAAGAAATGTGACGCGCACGGAACACCAAGTCCCAAGTAGGTATACTTTTCAACGAGTTATTGAATCTATGGCTGGTGTAATTTAACATCGAGTTTTAGAGTTAAGAACTGCCGGAGGAATCCATATTGCATTCACAGAGTTGGTAATGAAAAGTGGGAAAAGTTTAAGCGCGGCACGGTCGATCAGCAAGCACCACAATTGACTCGGAGGGATGTTGAGAAACAGCCCTGTGGCTTATCAAATTTTGGCAATTTTTGTTATGTGAACAGCTTTCTACAGGTAAGGTTCATTGTTTTTATGAATTTTCTCGGCTTTTAGGTGCTTCTTCAATGCGTTTCTTGATTTTAATTAAAGTTTAAGGCAAAAACTTATATTGAACTTGGTATCAGACGAAGAAAATGTTAATGTTGACCGGTATTGTTGCAGATCTGGTTCAACGACCTTTCATTTCGGCAGATAATTTATCAGTGGAGGTCTGATCCGGATTGGAAGCCATCAGAGGGCACAAAATTGGACATCCAAGCCGTCATGAATTGTCTACAAGAGCTCTTTCTAACCATGCAAATAACCCCATATGTCAGTTCATTTTTTTCTTTTTATTCTGGTTTTAGGAGTTTACTAACGCACTCGACTTTATCAGCCTGCTGAAGTTGGACAACGAACAGCACGACGTCCAGGAATTCACGATCCTGTTCTTCGATGCGTTGGATCGACACCTTTTGACGCACCCAAGCGGAGAACCCTTCCGAAACGCCATAAAATCACGCTATGAAGGCGTGAATCGACAGATTGTTCTCTGCAGTTGCGGCAACAGGAGCGTCAAGGAGGATATGTTCATGTCTTTAACATTGACAATCGACGGATGTAACACTCTCCAAAAAGCACTGGACGGCTACTTTACGCCCGAAGAACTCAGCGATTTCAAATGTTCGAAGTGTGGAAAAAGTGGAGGGACCACGAGGGCCAATGAAACAGCGAAATTACCGCCGGTTTTGTTGCTACAATTGAATCGGTACACCTATGATCAGTAAGTGGCATGGGTAACATAATTTTTACAGGGTTTGATAGGAAATCTTGGTATACAGGGCTTGTGGGCTCAAAGAGGGACATTTTTGTGGATGGGCTGTTAAAAAATTCTTGGAATTACAAATTCCATAATTTTTTGTCATGGATAATATAAAAATGTCTTGTTTTGTCTAAATTTCCTTGATTATTTGTATGGATGAAGTTGAAATAGATGAATTATGATGCCATCTTTGATTGTAAATAAAAATAATTTTTAGATATGGCCGGAATAAGAAGATTGGAAGCGCTATTCAATATCCCCGAGAATTGTACAGCACGGATCTGAGGTACTGCACCGAGGATGAAGAGCAGCAGCCGATAAAATATAACCTGAGTGCGGTCATGATTCACGAAGGCGCCTCCGCAAACTGCGGCCATTACTATGATCTCATCAAGGACCCAAATACCGACAAATGGTTTATTTACAATGATAAAGTAAGATTTTGAGGAGGAAACGGGAACTGGGACGATTGGGGAAACTAATAGATAACATAATAAATCGCCTGTGGATGACAAATCCCTCAGACTTTCTTTCCAAAAACATCAAATATTCTCCAAGTCACCCCCAAATCACCGTTTCATCCGGAGTTGGGCGATTGCGGAAACCGAAAAGTATTATTTTTTTCGGTGCAAGTGTTGAAATTAGGATAATCGAGGGTGCTGATTTCGAAAATGACATTCATTTTTTTTGATCTTTACTTTTTTCCTTGAGTAGTACTGTAAAGTAATAATTTTTTGATTTTTTTTACAAATACTCGATTTGAGGGGTTTCGATGGTGCTGATTTCGAAAATCTTATTCATTTTTTATATGCTGCTTTCAAATCAGAAAACAATGAATAAGATTTTCGAAATCAGCACCATCGAAACCTCCTAAATCGAGTATTTGTGAAAAAAAATCAAAAAATTACTACTTTACAGTACTACGTGAAGAAAAGTTAAGGAAAAATGAATGTCATTTTCGAAATCAGCACCCTCGATTATCCTAATTTCGACACTTGCAACGAAGAAAAATAATACCTTTCGGTTTCCCCAATCGTTCAACTCCGGATGAAACGGTGATTTGGGGGTGACTTGGAGAATATTTGATGTTTTTGGAAAGAAAGTTTGAGGGATTTTCCATATACAGGCGATTTATTATGTTATCCATGATTTAGGAGGTCTCCCAAACAAAAATCCCCGGTTTCAACCCCGAAAAGAACGCCACAGCGAAGGGAACGTCGGATATGAAAGGCTGCTATGGGCTGATCTATCGGATAGAGGACGAATCCAAACTGAACATCGAAAATTCACTTTCAAATCAGGTACCCACAAACTCAAAAGAACTGGAATTACCGGCTCCGGAGATTGTCTCAAAGGTCGAAACTAAGGTAAGAGGAAAGAATGAGATTTTTTTTTTAATTTTAGTATTAAAATTAAATGAAATGGACGCAAAATTTTTTGAATTAACCTTATTTTAGCTGAACGACACCTTCCAAAGAGAAAGTCGAGATGGCGACCGCTCCTACGAGCTCTGGCAAAAGTGCATCGACGAAAAACAGGAGGCCCTGGAAAGACTCTGGGTCCTGATGGAGGTAAGAACCGAGAAGAGGGAGAAAATTTTTGAGTTTAGGTCGAAAATGGAGATGTGGCCAAGAAAAAACCCTCATCAATTGCGTTCGTCCCCACGGAACTCCTCTCCGAAATCCATGCCAAGGAGTTCAAGTGCATAGAAACGATGAAGGACCTCTCTCAGGCCATGGGAGATCAGTTCGCGATTAAAAATGGCGTTTTGAAACCGCCGTCTTCGAGTGATCCCGATATTATTGATGAGGCCATCAGAATTGTGGATGCAGAACAGTCCAGAGACCTCGATGAGGACGAACTTTTTGATGAAAGGCTTTTGGTGAGTTGTGGAATGAATTGGGACGGGTTTTGGAAATTTGTTTTGGGTTTGAAATCTTTCGTGGTGGGACCCAGAGCGATGTAGGGTGAGGGTGAATTTTGAATGAAGATTTGAGTTTTACGTGGAATTGGAGGAGAATTTTGATATATAAGGGATGCTAGAGGATCATTGAGCATTTTTATAGATTTTTGGAGGTTTTTATCGTTTTCGTGTCGAGACCAAAAGTTGATTTTTGGAAGTGGAATAGTTTGATAAAAAAATTGTTTCAGGAGGTCACGGAACAGCTGGTTGAAGAACGAATGACCACCTACAAACGAGAACGAGCCCGAACAGCGAGCAATCACTCCATCTCCGACGACGAGGTCATCAAGATATTGTACACCCCGGACAAACTCAACGAAGTCCCCATGACGCTGTGCCCGCACGGCAAGGTTCAAGTCGACTCGATACACGGCGGCAAAGTGAAGGCCGTCAACAAGGCGCCGCTCCTCGAACTCCTCGCCATGTACAATATAAAAGTTGCGGCGAGCGATGGCCGAACCGTCGGCCGGGAGGGATGCGGCCTGTTGACGGGCGAAGATCTCTGCATGGAATGCATCAAAATGCTGGAAAAGGAGTACAGCTGGAAGGAATCGGTGGACTCGAGCCAGGAAATGCTGACTGTCATCCTGGCCAGAGCCAACACCGAAGCCCCGCCGGACGCTTGCTATGTGTCCAAGAAACAACTCCAAAGCTATAAGAAGTTGGTGGTCCAAGAAATGAATTATCAGAAGTCCCTCACGCCCAAGGAAACGATCACTTTAGTTTTTTCGACCGAAAATTCGCCAAAATTGGCGGAAAATTCGAAAATTTTGGATGAACCCCTCAAAAAACGAAGAAAAGTTGGCTCGGATGAGGAGGATATTGATGGAATTAAAATGGAAAAGGGTGGGTTTGAGTTTTACCAAGAATTTTTGGAGGTTCAAAGGAGAAATTTTGATTTTTGAAATGGTTTTAGCAAGTATTTCGAATTCCCCGACCAGAATTGACCCCATGGATGTGAATGAACAGACGAGCAATGAAGAACAGGTCGAGAAGGAGCGGGAGGATCAAATTCAAGAAGAAAAGAAGGAGAATGGAGTGGAAAACGAAAAAGAAATACAAAAAGAGGAAGAAAATGGCGAAAAAGAAGTAAAAGAAGAAGAAATGGAAGTCGAGGAAACCGAAGAAGCAAAGGAAATGATGAAAAAAGAAGTTGTAAATAGCCGGAGGTTGGAAGTTCAAAAAGAAAATGGAAAGAAATTGGGAAAAACTTCAAAAAATCAGAAGAAATTGACGAAAAAGATAGAGAAAGAGGATGAAAATGAGGATAAAGAGCAAGAAGAGGTGGATGGAATAGATGAAAATGAGATTAGAGATTCGGAAACACCAGAAAATGATGAAAATCGGCCGGAAAATGACCAAAATTCGGAGGAAATTCGAAATTCCCGCGAAAATTCGGAGGAAATTGAGAAAAAGGAGTCGGAAAGCGATGAAAATGACGATGAAAATAATGAAGAGAACAATGATGAGAACAATGATGACAATAATGACGACAATAACGACGAATTTAGCCCACCGACGAAGCCCGAAGACCCCGACGATCCGGACGTGGAAGTGATAAAAGAAGTGATCCGAGCCCCCGTAAAACAAGTCTACTTCAACCAGGAGCTGGTCTGCCCACACGACGAATTCCACCCGAACCATCGCATGACCTGGATGTACAAATACGAATGGGACACGTTGATCGTATCCCGTTTCGCGAAACACAGATTCATCCCGGTCCACTCGGTGGAATGCCAGAATTGCTCCACTCAGCAAGAGGTAGGTTGTGTAGGGGGTTTTTTTGCATGATGTGGAATTTTTTATTTTTTTGCACAGTGCGAAATTTTTTATTTTTTTTTACGGGGCGAAATTTTTTGTTTCTTTTTTTGCACGGTGCGGAATTTTTTATTTTTTTTGCACGGTGCGAAAAATTCTTTTTTTTTGCACGGTGCGAATTTTTTTTTGGCACGGTGCGAAATTTTTTATTTATTTTTTTGCACGGTGCGGAATTTTTAATTTTTTGCACGGTGCGAAATTTTTTAATTTTTTTGCACGGTGCGAAATTTTTTATTTTTTTTGCACGATGCAAATTTTTTTATTTTTTTGCACGGTGCGAAAAATTCTTCTTTTTTCCACGGTGCGGAATTTTTCATTTTCTGCACGGTGCGAAAAATTCTTATTTTTTTTGGCACGGTGCGGAATTTTCAAAAATGGAAATTCGCGCACTGTGCAAGAGAATTTTGAGGTTTTCGGTTATAATTTAGAAGAACGGGGGATTTTTTTGAACGGCTGGTCGTGTACTGCAGAAAAGACATTTTTTACTTGACCGCACCGTGCAAATGTTTTTTGTTTTTGAATGAATCAAAAAAACGTAAAATAAGGTTGTAAATTTTGTTTTCAGGAAGCGGACCAACGTCGAACTCAAATTCAGAATCAACTAACCGCGATTGGGAATTCGTTGAGAAAAGTGTTCAGTAATGCAGAGAAGCGGAGTTTTTACGAGACTTCGCCGGAATACACAAAGGCACTGTGCTCCAAATTCATCCATCGTTTTAGGCACGCTCTAAAGTAAGGATTTTTCATGGTTTTAAGCAATGCCAAGGAGATTCAAGTTTTCGTGGTGGGACTCAAAAATTTTTTTGTTTTTATTGAAATTTGGGTTTTATAAAATTTCGAGGTGTGTCGTAAAACAGAAGTGGTTTTTTATGCAGATTTGAAGGATATAAACCCGATCTTCAGAGCGAAACATCCAGTTTTACCCCACATTTGCCAAGATTGCCTTCTCTGCAAAGAGCACCAGAAACCGTTTTTCCGTTCCACCGACAATCATGACCCCCACCTGCTGGACGAGGTCCTCAGCGAGCTCTCCGGCCAACCGACCCTTTTCTCCCTCGGCATCGCCCTACCATCCTCGTCGACGGAGCCCGCGCCGCAAGTAACCGGGCTCCCGGTCACCGAAAGCGAATGGGAATGCATCACGGAGAACCTGCAGAAGCACGCCGACATTGGAGAAGCAAGAGAGGTCTTCCTGGAACAAGGAGACTACATTGAATTCTGCGAGGACTGCAATAACAAAGCCCTGGAGGCGATTCGAACACAAAAGTGCACTTATCCAATGGGAGCCGACATTTATGTGAAGGTGGTGAGTGGAAACAGGTTTTATTGGGTGGAATTTTGATTAGAATGGGTGTAGCGGGGATTCGGAAGAATCAAAAATGATTTCCGGCGGTTTTCTGACAGTTCCCCTGATCCTCAGGGACTTCGTGGTGGGACTCAAAAAATTTTTAAGATTGCCGTGTATCAGTGAAAAAATATTTTTTAAAGGGTAGAATAGACCTAGAACGGTGTAAGGAAGGGATTTAGAAAGTAATAAAAAAAAATGTTTTCGTGGTGGGACCTTATTTTAAAATATTTTTTTTCAGAAACAAGACGACGAAAGTAGCCCCGACAGAACGAACCGAAGAGGCGCAGTAACGAGAAGAGGAGCGAATAAAAATCTGGTCAGAGTGAAGGTAAGTCGATTACCGGCATTTTCAATATGAAATTGAAGATGCGCTCCGTGGACACGATCAAGAAATTGAAAGTGGAACTCTACAAACGCACCAGCCAAAGCCCGGCGGACCAACTCCTCTACTGGAACGACAACGTCCTGGCCAACGAGATGACCCTGTTCGACGCCGGAATCGAGGCCGGCAACAGCCAGAACCCGATCATCTTGTTCACCCAACAGAAAACGGAGATTGCCGAAGCGCCCCGACCCCTCGAAAAAGGCTTCAAAGACACGGCGCTGTCCTCGGCCTAACCGGTTAGAGAAGTACTAATTTTGATTAACTAGTAAAAACGTGATTTTTCTGAATTTTTCACAGCTTGTACCTACTATAAGATATGAAAGTGCTAGAACACCCATCTAGAGCGAATTCGGTGAAAGATCATGAGGGTTTATAGAGAATTGGAGATGAAAGTGCGGGTAGGATTGTTTTTTCCCCAAAATTTTGAAGTTTTTTTGAGATTTTTTTTGAAAAATTTCAATTTTTTGATAAGGAGTCAAATTTTTATTTTAAAATCGAAAAAATCAGGCCAAGAAATAGTATTTTCATTCTCCAATTCAACACTATCCATAAATCTAACCTTGATTTACAGTGGGGGACCTGATCCAGTGGCAAAAAACGTACCATTTTGCATCCGGGAAGCATCAAAAATGTGGAAAAATGCTTCCCTCTTCAAGTGAAAAAAAACTTTGTTTTGAAGGGCTCTCACAAAAAGAGTGGGCGCGCTTTTGAAATCGGAGTTTTTTCACTTGGAGAGGGAAGCATTTTGCCACATTTTTTATGCTTCCTGTATGCGAAATGGTACGTTTTTTGCCACTGGATCAGGTCCCCAACTGTAGATCAAGGTCAGACTGGTGGATAGTGTCGAATTGGAGATTGAAAATACTATTCCTTGGCCTGGTTTTTTCGATTTTCAAAAAAAAATTTTTGAGATTTTTTTGTGAAAAAATTCAATTTTTTATAAGGAGTCAAATTTTCATTTGAAAATCGAAAAAACCGGGCCAAGAAACAGCATTTTCAATCTCCAATTCGACACTATCCATCAGTCTGACCTTGATTTAGAACTTGAAAAATTTCCTCTAAAATTCCCCGTCAGAATCGCTTATTCTTGTGTTTTTATTGCCTTTTTTACATACTGTAGTGCTATTTCAACTTACTCTTAACCCTGTTGTTCGATTCACCCCGATAAATTCGTGAGTTTCGCCCAGTTATTTCCCCCCGATTCTTCTCTCACTACCATGTTTTCACGGGTCTTTCCATTGTTAATTTATGCCGTTGTTGGTCTCGGTCCAAGCTATTTATGCCGCGCATATGATCATACAGTCAAAATAAAGTTTAAATATATCAGATTTTGGCCAATTTTTACCGTAAAACCACCAAAAAATTCAACTAAAACAATATAATTTATTCGAAAAAACAGCGATATCCAATGAGATATATGACAATAAAGCGTGATATAAGATTGATTTGATGTTAGAAGAGGGAGAAAAACAATATAAAGCAAAAACTGAGCAAAATTAAAAAAAATTTTTTTGGTATCAAGTATAATATCGACCCGAAATTGGAGGAAATTCACCCGGATTTTCGCTAAATCACCCGTATTTTGTTCTAAATTACCCGAGTTTTGATGCTCATTCAAAAATTTTTAAATTAATTTGTCGTAAAATTCGACCTAAAAATCTCAAAAAATCGGCAAAAATTAGACCGAATTTCAAAATTTTTCCCTTTGTAACCCCCTCGCTAAAGGGCTTCGATATTGGGTCATGAGTTTCTCTTCCTTCGCCGCGATTTCATCCAGCACTTTTTTGGCCTCTTCCATTGCACTGTGCAGGACAAAAGTCGCGAAATAACTGTTCAATTCATATGGGGCAGCATGAACTTCGGCATACGTCGAGTACTCGAATCCCGCTAGAGCCTTGGATGTGTCGATGTAGAAGGTTTGGAATGTTTTTAGCAACGAATCCAGCTGCACCATGGACGGATAGGTCCGTTTGGGAAGGCTGAGAAAAACCATCTTCTTCGGGCGATCCGCGTTTTTATATTGGAACAACGCGAACTGTCGCAACTTCTTCAGCTCGTCGAAGACGATCTTCGGCGATTGGCAAATGGGACTTTTGAGGTTCAGCCAATTGTAGTTGGGCATAAATATCAGATTCGAGGCTCGTTGAAACGGCAACAATTTGCAGACCAAATCCAAGGAGGGCTCAATTGCGAGAGTTTCGTGGATCTAAACGCCAAAAATGCAAAAAAAATGAAGCTGCTTACCTGAATACAATCGTACCACTCGGTGAGCGGCATTGGCCATCTTCCACACAAGATCAATGTGTAATCTCTGCCCGCGTGAGTCATTCGATAGAGCTCTTCGCGTCCGGGAGGCATTGTACGCATAAATGGACGGAGTTCCTGCTCTTGGATTACAACCTGCAAAAAATGATGTTATAATTGAGGGTTTAAAAAATAGTCGCATAAAACGTCGCCTTTGAAGGTTATCATAACATTTGGGAAAAATGAAGGACCCACACTCCTCAAAAAGTGTAGACAACCCGGAATCGACATTTAATCGATCCAACTCCCATTTTACAACCATCGTATAACATGTCCTGCGCAGTTTGCAAAGTAGTCTAAACTTGAAAGCAAAACAACCAAAAAAACTTACAGAAAACTTAGTACTAGTCTCTACATCCACTTTCTCCACAACTTTCTCACACTTCTTCCCTCTTTCAACTTCTTTTTCTTCTTTATCTTCATCAAGCAGATCACACTGAACTCCGCTGTCTTCGAACTCAATCCGTTCGCTCTGAACTGCGGATAAAGTGTCGTGCCAGTCCCCATTGGTGTCAGTGCCCGTTGAAGGAGTGGAATCGGGGTAGTCCACCAGATTTGTGCTAATTTTTGCCGGCTCCAAATTTTGGTCGGCAAGAGAGGTCAAAGGCGGCGGTTTTGGCTTCGGAACAGCCTGTTTTTCCCTCGAACTGGACTTTCTCAAAGGCGAAGGAGATTTCCGACGTTTTGAGGAGCTCTCTTTCCGGGAATCTGATCTTCGAGACGACAGTTTTTCATCTGGAATATTAAAATAAGGTGGGTAAATTTTGGAACAAAAACTTGCAGAAATGACCGTAACACACCAAAAAATAAGTAGAAACCATGTGAGACGCATGAGACAATATTACATAAAAATTCTAGCGATTGTTACCAGATCAAGTCCAGTTGTTACCTAAAATAAGACCCGTTTTTTAACTGAAAGCCGGGAAATCCAATGGTCGCCAAAAAATCACAAGCACTCAACTGTTTTAAAAATTTCAGACGTATAAGATCATAAAATTCGAAGTCAGTTCCGCAATTTGCACCTTATACTTGAGGTCAAGGAAAAAGGGATAAATATTGGTGTAATGTCATAGATATTGCTTGAATACCTGTTTTAATATTCTTTCAGGTTCACATTTACCCTAAATTACCATGAGGATTCTTTCAATTTTAAAACAATTCAACTTGCTTCACCTCCCCAAATTGTTTTAGATAATTTAGGTGAGAAAAATTGGAAAATTTCGACAAAAGCGAAAAAATACAAGAAAATCAAGGAAATTCTTCTTTCTCCATTCCCACATTGACCTCATTCATCTAAAGATAGGACAAAACATAAGAATTCTCACCTGATTGACGTTTTCTTTGTGGATAAGGTCCATGGCGACGTGACTCCAATCGCATATCAGCTCGAACTCGAGCCATTGAGCACAATCTTGCGCCACAACACAAGATCTAACCCTCCGCCAACTCCTCAACAAAATCCCGTCGTTTTCGGCGGAGTCGACGAATTTGACGGAATGTCACAGACCTATTGGAAATTTGACAAAATGTCACAAGGATTATTGGATTTTCAAATCAACGATTTCCCAGGATTTTTCAGTGGGACAAATGGTTGGTGAAGGCTGTAGAAAGTTTTAAAAAGCCAAATAAACATCAAACTCCAAGAATAATACAGATTTTTTATATGAATCTTCATAATTTACTCAATAATCCTCTGGAATATAAAATGGAGTGCGCAGATTCTCGGTGGGGAAGAACGCCACGTCGACGATGGTCAATTCGACGGTGAAACTGGCTCCGTCTTGCAGATCGATCGTAGATATGAGGCTCTCTTCCGATTTCTCTTTTGTGTTTTCGGCCGAAAATAAGGCTTCGGCCGAATCCGGAAAGCTGGCTTCTTTGGCTAGCTGAAATAAAAAAAAGTTGTAAGGTGTTGTTATCTTCCATGAGACTTCATTTCAGAGTCATAAAAAGGGGATTTTACGAAAACCAAAATTTCAATTTTAGGTCCCGCCACGATAATTTGAAAATTATAAAATCGATTTCAAAATTTATATTTTGTGTTTTTTTAAAATTTTAAGCAAACTGACCGCTTGAAATTGTAAAAAAACAAATAAAATTTTTTTTCTCACCTCCTTGGACACCAACAAATGGACATCAAGTACGGAGCTGCCAAACAAAGTAATCTTGTGCTCGTTGAAGGCCGAAATGACACCTTGAATCGTCTCCTTGACAAATATGAACTCATTTTTTAGGTCGGATGTGGACTGAAATTAGAGGCATTTGTCAAAAATCAAAGCAAATTTCTGTGAGAGACAATGCAAAATGAGGAGAGACGGCTAGAGAAAAAATTGTTTTTTTGGGTATATCTCCTCGAATGTTTAGGGTAAAAATTGATTTTTTGTAGAAATATCGCATTCCATAAGGAAAAAGTTTGCCTATTTTTCATCACTCAAATGAAAAAAAAAAAAAAAAAAAAAAAAAAAAACGAAATTTTGAAAATTGTTGGTACAAAATTTTCGTTCTCGGAGGATAGGTTACCCCTAACAAATAGGTTACCCCAGCGGATAGGTTACCCCACCGGATAGGTTACCCCAAGTTTCGGATAAGTAACCTCGGAGGATAGGTTACCCCACGGATAGGTTACCTCGGAGGATAGGTTACACCGAGGATAGGTTACCTGAAAAAAAATTTTTTTTTGAAATGTTTTCGCTTCGGGACTTGGAAAAAAGGACTTTTTGTGAAATTTGAAAAAATTTTCAAATGTTTTCGCTTCGGGAGTTGGAAAAAAAAGGATTTTTTGTGAAATTTGAAAAAAATTTGAAGTGTTTTCGCTTCGGGACTGGGAAAAAAAGATTTTTTGGAAAATTCAACAAAATTTTGAAATGTTTTCGCATCGGAAGTAGAAAAAAGGGTGTCTGACTGAATATTAACTGTGGTGCCGGCAGCACTAAAATTTTGTCTAAAACCAATGGTACCACCTGGTACTATATAGTACCACGTGTTTTTGGGCTCTACTAAGCACCAAACCATCACCATTACGGCCAAATTTTCACTTCTCACAAAACAGTACCAGTTGGTACTATATAGTACCAAGTGTTAAAACGTGTTTTTGGGTTCTACTAAGCACCAAACCAACGCCATTACCGCCTTACGGCCAAATTTGCACCTCGTACTAAATAGTACCAGGTAGTACTATTTGGTACCAAGTGTTATAAATGTGTTTTTTAAGCAGTACTAGGCACCAAAACAACACCATTAACGTCTAAAAGTGTTATAAGTCGAAAAATTTTCAAAAAGAATCCCTAAAGGAAGTAAGGTAACAGAAACCCAGTTTTCATATTCAGTCAGTTCATACTCAGTCAGCTCGAAAACCTTTCAAATTTTTTTCAATTTTCACAAAAAATCCTTTTGTTAAAAGTCCCGAAGCGAAAACATTTCAAATTTTATTCAAATTTCACAAAGAATCCTTTTTTTCAACTCCCGAAGCGAAAACATTTCAAATTTTATTCAAATTTCACAAAAAATCCTTTTTTTCCAAGTCCCGAAGCGAAAACATTTCAAATTTTATCCAAATTTCGCAAAAAATCCTTTTTTTCCAAGTCCCGAAGCGAAGACAATTCAAATTTTATTCAATTTTCACAAAAAATCCTTTTTTTCAACTCCCGAAGCGAAAACATTTCAAAAAAAAAATTTTTCTTTTTTTGGTAAGGGGTAGCCTATCCGTGGAGTAACCTATCCGGTGGGGTAACCTATCCGTGGGGTAACCTATCCGGTGGGGTAACCTATCCTCCGAGTTATGTGTTTTTTGGGGTAACCTATCCGGTGGGTAACCTATTCTCGGGGTAACCTATCCTCCCCAAATCCAAAATTTTCGTTCTCGGAGGATAGGTTACCCCTAACAAATAGGTTACCCCAGCGGATAGGTTACCCCACCGGATAGGTTACCCCAACTTTCGGATAGGTAACCTCGGAGGATAGGTTACCCCACGGATAGGTTACCTCGGAGGATAGGTTACCCCGAGGATAGGTTACCTGAAAAAAAAATTTTTTTTTGAAATGTTTTCGCTTCGGGACTTGGAAAAAAGGATTTTTTGTGAAATTTGAAAAAATTTTGAAATGTTTTCGCTTCGGGAGTTGGAAAAAAAGGGTTTTTTGTGAAATTTGAAAAAATTTTGAAATGTTTTCGCTTCGGGAGTAGAAAAAGGGTGTCTGACTGAATATTAACTGTGGTGCCGCCAGCACTAAAATTTTGTCTAAAACCAATGGTACCACCTGGTACTATATAGTACCACGTGTTTTTAGGCTCTACTAAGCACCAAACCATCACCATTACGGCCAAATTTTCACTTCTCACAAAACAGTACCAGTTGGTACTATATAGTACCAAGTGTGAAAACGTGTTTTTGGGTTCTGCTAAGCACCAAACCAACGCCATTACCGCCTTACGGCCAAATTTGCACCTCGTACTAAATAGTACCAGGTAGTACTATTTAGTACCAAGTGTTAAAAATGTGTTTTTTAAGCAGTACTAGGCACCAAAACAACACCATTAACGTCTAAAAGTGTTATAAGTCGAACAAATTTCAAAAAGAATCCCTAAAGGTAGTAAAGTAACAGAAACCCGGTTTTCATATTCAGTCAGTTCATACTCAGTCAGCTCGAAAAAATTTCAAATTTTATTCAAATTTCACAAAAAAACCTTTTTTTCCAAGTCCCGAAGCGAAAACATTTCAAATTTTATCCAAATTCCATGAAAAATCCTTTTTTTCCAAGTCCCGAAGCGAAAACATTTCAAATTTTATTCAATTTCCACAAAAAATCCTTCTTATTAAACTCCCGAAGCGAAAACATTTAAAATTTTTTTTCAATTTTCACAAAAAATCCTTCTTTTTAAACTCCCGAAGCGAAAACATTTCAAAAAAAAATTTTTTCTTTTTTTGGTAAGGGGTAACCTATCCGTGGAGTAACCTATCCGGTGGGGTAACCTATCCGGTGAGGTAACCTATCCTCCGAGTTATGTGTTTTTTGGGGTAACCTATCCGGTGGGTAACCTATTCTCGGGGTAACCTATCCTCCCCAAATCCAAAATTTTTTTAAAATCTCATCAAAATCAAAAAAAAAAATTTTCAAAAAAAGATTTTTTTTCTATTGATGATAATTTTGCCATAAAAATCAAAACTCACCGGATTTTTTGGCGCATATTGCACTCCACCCAAAATTTTGACCAACTTGAGATTGGGAGCGGCCGAAATTAAATTCTTCACACATTCCTGATAGTACCCTTTGATTGTGAGGCCGCGGAAATCATTGGGGATGGAGGCACTGAGGGTTAATTGTTGCAAATTCTCGGATTGTTGAACAGGTTCATTGGTGACAAATCTCTCCAAAAACAGTTTGCCCTCAAGGCATTCAACGGCATGTGGAGGGGTGAAAACTGAAAAAATAGAGCGCATGAAAGAAAATTGATTTTTAATTTTTTTTTTATCATGAATTTTTTTTGATAAAATCGCACAATGTAAGCTTTTAGTTTATAAGTTTGCATTGTTTTGATCTCGTATTTGCACTGTGCAAATTTTTCAATCTAAATTTTGCACGGTGCAAATTTTATATTTTGATTTTTGCACTGTGCAATTCTCCCATTCTAAATTTTGCACTGTGCGAATTTCAGATTTTACTTTGGACTGTGCACTTTTTCCAATCTAAATTTTGCACCGTGCGAATTTTCAGATTTTGATTTTTTGCAGTGAAATTTCTAATCCAAATTTCGCACTGTGCACGTTTTCAATCCAAATTTTGCACCGTGAAAACTTCAGACTTTGATTTTGCACAGTGCAATTTTTCCAATCCAAATTTCGCACGGTGCGAATTTCAGATTTTGGTTTTGCACAGTGCAAATTTTATATTTTGATTTTTGCACTGTGCAATTCTCCCAATCTAAATTTTGCACTGTGCGAATTTCAGATTTTACTTTGCACTGTGCACTTTTACCAATCTAAATTTTGCACCGTGCGAATTTTCAGATTTTGATTTCGCACCGTGCAAACTTCAGATTTTGATTTTGCACTGTGCAATTCTCCCAATCCAAATTTTGCAAAGTGCAGTCGCTAAAAATGGAGAATCAAAGTTCAAATCCGTTTCAAAGACAACATCCGTAAAAGACTTACTTTCCTCACCCATGGCGTCTCATAAAATCCGGGAGTAAAAATGTTTTTTTGGGGGGCCGCGAAAAAAGTCGGAGAGCAAATTAAACCGAAAATTTTTGGGAATGGAATCGGGCCCGTCTTCCGCTTTCCCGAAACAAAATGCGAAAGCCGAGGCACAAACAATTGGCCACGGGGGATAATCAAAAAATGTTTATTCGGTGAATCTCACGTATCACATGGAAGAACAGGAAGTTGTGGCGGGTGAAAGGTGGTGGTCAACAGTCCTTCTTTTCCTTGGCTTTTTCGTTTGACCGTTCTGAAAAATGAGGGAATTGAAATACGAAAGAGTTGGGGGGTTTTGAAAAATAAAAATGAGTAGGCCAGAAACTTTGAGAAATTTGGTATGGATTGAACTTTATTTTGCGTGTTTCCGGCTGTAGGATTAATCAAATGGATGTAAAATTATTCACGTAATTTTTAAAAAATGCACAGGTTTTATACTATCAGTCTGTCGGGAAAATAACGGCGGATCGTCGCAGCAAAATGTCTCGCCTCGCCGCTATCGCGCATCAAATCCCAAGTCGCGGCTTGCAGTCGCAAAGCGATGATAAGCGATTCCGAGGCGCGACGATCCGCCGTTATTTTCCCGACAGACTGATAGATCTTTCGGAAAGTCGCTGGACTGATTTTTGGCGTTTGCACTGTGCGAAAAAAGCCAGGGTGCAAGCGACAGCCGAAAAAAGCCCATTGCACGGTGCAAAAAGCAAGAAATTGCACAGTGCAAAGTGAACTTTCGTTTTCTCACGGTGTGTGTCGCCGGCCAAAAATCCGCGACATGCACTGTGCGGAAACAAAAGTTTTCTTTGCACTGTGCAATTTTTTGGCTTTTTGCACCGTGCAATGGGCTTTTTGGGGCTGTGGCTCGCACCCTGACTTTTTTCGCACAGTGCAAACGCCAAAAATCAGTCCGGCGATACGCACAGTGCGGCAACAAAAGTTTTCTTTGCACTGTGCAATTTTTGGCTTTTTGCACCGTGCAATAGGTTTTTTTCGACTTTTTGCACCGTGCAATTTTCTGATTTTGATTTTGCACAGTGCAATTTTCCCAACTTAAATTTTGCACGGTGCTGACATTTTTCGCACAGTGCAAACGCCAAAAATCAAACCAGCGACTTTCCGGAAGGACTAGAACTGCACTGACTTCAAGTAAATTTGACGAAAATTTAGAGAATTTTTTTCCAAGCCATATACGAGGTATTTATGGCTTGAACTTTGCAAAAAATAAGATTTTTGATCGAAAACTTATAAAAATGGCTAAAAATTTTTGCGAGTTCTGGCACAAGAAGCTGTAAATCCATTTCTATTGTACAATAGAAAGAAAAGTTTCCACAAAAAAGTACTCTTTTCCCTGCAAAATTGGCGAAGATACGCCCAAAAGAGTTTTTCTCACAAGGGAAGTCACTTAAATCACGGATCGATTTTGTAAAACGACTGTTACAGCGATGGGGAGGGTAGGAAGTAGATATCAAATCTGAAAACCGCTGCCTCCACCGGCCTCTGGGAGCCGAGATAATTGACCAAAAAGTTTGCCCAAACTCCTCCGATCATTTCTTCCTTCCGAAAGAAGAAAATCCAGCGAACCGAATGGTCCGGTGGTCTGGAAGCGCGCTTCCGGGCCTTCACCTTTTCAGGTTCGAATCCGCGCGGGTCTCGAACTTGCGAAAAATTTATGTTGCTGTGATCCAGAAAATTTACTAGCAATTTATTTTTAGATTTTTTGTCTATTTTACGGTAAATTTTCAACCTTGCAAATTCAAATCGTTTGGAACTTTCAAATTATTACTCTAAAAATTGTAAAATATGCAAAAAGTCAAAAATTTTATCTTACCGGTTAATTTACTGTATTACAGGAAAAGTTTAATAAGATTCGAATCCATGCGGATTCGAACCTGAAAAGGCCAAGGCCCGGAAGCGCGCTTCCAGACCACCGGACCATTCGGTTCTCTTCCCTCCTTCTTTCGAAAAGAAGAGCTTTTCGGAGCAACTTTTTTTGGCAAACTTTTTTGGTCGATTATCTCGGCTCCCAGAGGCCGGTGGAGGAAGCGGTTTTCAGATTTGATATCTCCGTCCTACCCTCCCCATCGCTGTAACAGTCGTTTTTAAAAATCGATCCGTGACTTAAGTGACTTCCCTTGTCAGACCACTCTCCTCATCTTTCGCACTCTCTCGGCGGAAAAGATTGTTGAATATCTCGGCGCTGCCTATAAACCGCGAGCTAAAATTTTGAGTAATTGATCACTGACATATACACTATATGTATGCAAAATTTGAGGCAATTCTGAGCATTTCGATTTTTGGTCCTACCACGAAAACCTGAAAAGTCAGAATTTTGATTTTTTTAAAATTTTTGAGGAATTGGTATACCATCATTATAAGGATGTAAAATTTTGCGAAAATTGTGGCATCCCACTTTTACGAATCCTTTTAAAAAAGATTGGCCTTACTTTCAGTCTCCTCAGCAGCGGAATGGAGGACTTCGTCTTCGTTTGGGGCCGATCTGAACAGAAAAATTGATCCGGCCACTACGAGAACGGCGACAATTGGGATGAAAAAGTGAATGCCTGGAAATTTCTGGATTAAAATTGAATTTTTATTTGAAATTTTTTAGAAAAAATCGAAAAATTTTAATAGATTTTTGCTCAAAATTCGGCATAAAAAGTCTCAAATTTGAATTTTTACTTTTTTTTTTAAAAATTTAAACAATTTTAACCTTAAAAATAACTGAAAATCATCTTACTTTCGACAACAGTGTACACCACATCCATCGAAGAGCGAAATAAAAGTCTCTGGGGCCAGAGGGAATATTAAAAAGAAGAAAGTTTCTCCTCAAAACAAACGCTTTTCCCGAGGAGAAAGCCAAATTCCGGCAAAAAAGCCGAAATTTGAAAAAGAGAAAACGGAGCCTCAGGGTAAAGTCTTTATATTCTCGGTGCGGAATAGGCAATATAACTTGGCTATATTGGATTCTGGACAATCGAAAAAAATGGCTTTTTTACGCTTGAAACAGAATGCCAAAAATGGCGGGAAACTTCATTTTTTTGTATTTTTTTCTTTTGATATACTGTAGAATAGAGAGGTATAAACCGTGTTTTTCTATTTTTTGCCCATTTCAAAGGTGTGCCATCGCTTTATGGCCGTTGAAACAGAATGCCAAAAATTGCGGGAAATTTTAATTTTTTGAATTTTTTGCATCACTTGTGAGAAATATGGTTATTATTGAAGGGGAAAGGATCGTAATTTACAATTTTTTTCGTATTTCGAAGCTCTGTCATCACTTTATGACCCTTGAAACAGAATGCCAAAAATTGCGGGAATTTAAAAAATTTTTTCGTGACTTATGGGGATTACTTTTTACTTTAAATAAATAAAACGTATTTTACAATATTTTATGCATTTCCAAGCTGTGTCATTCACTTCCCGACCCTTCGAACAGAATGCCAAAATTGGCGGAAAATTTAAATTTCTTGATACTGTAGCCTGATTTATAAAAAGTCTTAATTATTCGAAGGGTAAGAGTTATAATTTACAATTTTTTACGCATTTCCAAGCTTTTCCATCACTTTATGACCCTTCAAACTGAATGCCAAAACTGGCGAGAAATTTGAATATGGACCAAAAATTCTTTCAAAAACCGATAGATAAGATCACAAAATTTTATTCAGAATCCTTAATTTTTTGAAATACAAAAAAAAATTTGAGATCCATAGGTCTCAAAAACATTACAAAATACAATTGATCGATCAAAACAATTTCTAATTTGACTATTCAAATCCTACATTAATATATGTACAATAACAAAGATGATATGCGGAGGAATGTGTGGACAGTGGCTGAAAGAGACCCGTTTACAATACTCAACAAAACACACCGAGGGTGACAAAAAACAATCGAATTCAAGACCTTGAGGGACCGTAATCGAAGTGAGAATTTTGGAAAAAGCCTAAAATGGAAATTTATGTCAACTTCGAGATTTGAAAAATGAGATTTTTGGAAAAAATCGAAAAAATTTTTTTTTTGAAAATTCAAAAAACCCAAAAAATTTTTTTCCAAAAAAATCTCAATTCTCAAACTCCCAAAAAATCGAAATTTACAATAAAATTTATCCAATTACTGATCCGCTTTTTCTTTTTTCGACTTCCTCGACTCGCGTTTTCTCTGCGGCAAGATGTCCGCACAATCGTCATGAATCGAGTCGTTCCCGCTGTCCTCATCGCTGGACGAGGAGAACGAGGCCCTGCGGCGTTCGAGGGCCTCATCCAGTTTGTGGGTTTGACCCAGCTCGGCCACATCGATCTGTACGGGCGCGATCTTGTTGGGCGAATGCGACTTCTTGCCCATGGCCCAGGGACGGGGCTCGGCTTCGGCCACACAATTGAAAACGAGAGTGGAGAGGATGATAAAGGAGCCAAAGCATATCCACATTTGGGACCACTGAAAGAGTAAGGAATAAAATGGGGATTAAAATTGGCAAAAATTGGCAAGGTGACATTTTACACGAAAGAAAAAAAGTTTCGTATAAAATGTCGCCAAATCAAGCAAAATTGAAAAATCCGAAAAAACTCCCGTTAACAGTTAGTCACAAGATTTTTTTCGCTGTTTTTTTGACCGATTTTTTCGAAATTTTCCAAAAAATTTTTTTTTCGTATAAAATGTCACCTATCGAAAAATTTTGAAAATCGAAGGCGAAAAAAATCTAGCCTTCTAAGCAATATTTTTCTAGCTTTAAAGTATCTCTATGACACTTTTTGTGGTAAAAATCTCAAAATCTTACTTCTTGCGGTGTGTTATTTGGAGCCATAAATTCAACAATAAAGGGTAAGATCAAGATGCAAATGGAGCTGCTCAACGTTACAGTGGCCATCAAAACGTATACGAATGGTCCGGAGATCTGAAAAAGAAAAAACTAAAATTTTTAGGTCCCACAGCGAAAACTTGAAATTCCTAAAATGGTCATAAAATCGTTCAGAAATTATGTTAACGTTCTAATAAAAACTGTCTTTCACAAAAAGCATCAAAAATTTTGCTTATAAGGAAATTAAACAAAAATTTGGGTCTCACCACGAAAACCTGAATTCCCCCAAAATCCCTGTAAACCCTTACCAGTTGCAAGCTCTTAATATTTCCCATCGCATTCAGTCCACTGAAGGTCACAGCGACCGTAAAGATGATCTGGGCGAGCAATTGTGTGTGTTCATCGACAAAAGCCAGGCAAATGAAGGCGCCGGACATGACAAAATGAGAGATCGAGGCGAAAATAATCACTCGGCCTCTGGGCCCAAAATACGGCATTTTATCGCTGATGGGGCCGGCGGCAACCTGGAAAAAATTTTTTTGAAAAAACTGATTTTTTGAGGGAAAATTTTTAAAAATTTCAAAAAAAAATTTCCAAAAAATAAATCTCACCTTGAACATGATGGCCAACAAAAAAGGCAGCGCCGTGATGAATCCCGTCTTTTTCACATCGAATTTGATGACTGTATTCAAGAAGAAAGCGGAATATTGATTCAGAATCTGATATCCCAGATTCCCTCCAAACGTCGTAAACAAGCATCCGAGGACCGCTTTGTCCGTGAAAATCGCCAAAAACGGGACCTTTGGCCGGTTTTCCTCCGCGATTTGGACGATTTTCCCCTTCTGGAGGACCATTCTTTCGGTGGGGCCCACACAACGATGCTTGCCGGGGGAATCGCGGTAGAAGAGGGCGAAAACGCTGACCAGAAGGAGTGTCGCGGCGCCCAAAAAGTAGTAAACGGCGGGCCAGCCAAGCGGCGAGGAGCACAGCTCACCGGCGATTGGCATTGTGAGAACGGGGCCGATCTGAAGATGGCAGGAGAGAATGGCAATATAGGTCCCGGAACGCTTTGTTGTCGACCATTCCGTGGTTATGGAGCCGGTTGAAGGCCAGAGGGCTGCTAGTGAGAGACCCTGAAATTTTTTTTGAATAAAAATTTTTTCGATTTTGAAATATTTCTTTCCGCATAGTGCAAAAATTTTTGGTTTTATCGCACTGTGCAAAAATTTTGGTTTTTTTGCACGGTGCAGAAAAAAATTTGGGTTTTTTGCACAGTGCAAAAAATTTTGGTTTTATCGCACAGTGCAAAAAAATTTTGGGTTTTTCGCACAGTGCAAAAAAATTTTTGGTTTCATCGCACAGTGCAAAAAAATTCTTAGTTTTCTCGCACAGTGCAAGAAATTTTTGGTTTTATCGCACGGTACGAAAAAATTTTTGGTTTTCTCGCACAGTGCAAAAAAAAAAATTTTTCTCGCACAGTGCAAAAAAAATGATAATAAAAAGCCCCTGAAAAAATTCAAAAAATTTTTGAACGTCTGAAAAAATTTTAAACTGGCATTTCCAAAACTTTACAACACAAATTCCCCCACTCTTACCTGTAAAAATCGCATTGCCAACACATACGGGAATCCGTACTGAACAGCATATGGGATGGCCAAAGTCGAGAGTCCGGAGATGCATCCGTACAAAACAAAGCTCAGTCTGATTCCAATTCGGCCGGCCATGAAGAAGAATGGGAAAGCGCCGCATATTGTGCCTACGGCAATAATTGAAAACAGCCAATTCCGTTGATTGTCCGAGAAAATGAAGTCATCGCGTTCTGAAAATAATTTTTTATCACTTTGTCATTGCTTTAGAGCGGTAGAAAGGCCGTTTTTTAGGTAAAAACGCACTTCTCCTGATCTTCAGGGTTTTCGTGGCAGGACCCAAAATCGTCAAAAAATGTGAAATTTCTTGCCAAATAAACTTTTTAATCACAAAAGTCGCGTAAAAGACTCCATTAAGCGCCTATATACCGATTTTTGAGATTTCAAGTTTTCGTGGTGGGACCCAAAAACAAATTTTTATTCACATTTTTTTTTTATTTTTTGGTTGTTTGGAACTTCAAATTAGTCTCGATGATCTTCAGTCAATTGTGAAAGCCCTTTTGAACTTCAATAGTACCGTTTTCGATCAAAAGTATGAACTTTGCCGATCAGGGCGCAAATTTTTCATTTCTTAACCATCCACCAAAAGGTCAGGATCCCATCCCGCGGCTGTAAAGTAGCAAGAAAATGACGGATTGATTGTGGAATTGTGGGGGTAGCCCAATTTCTTTGCGCTTTCTGTTTTTACGGTAGGGGAATTCCGTCAAGTTCTGAGTTTTGTTGTAATAAAGAAGGCAAACGTGTGTTTTGTAATTAAAAAATAATAATCATTTTGTGGGTGTAGGCAAAAACAGTTGAGAGAACTTGTCAAGAAATCGACGCAAAAGTTTGGTCAAACTTATGAGAAAAAAATTTTATTTTGGGTCTCACCACGAAAACCTGAATTTTCGAAAAAACACTCAAAAGCGTTTGAGAACATTGGAGATTACTTGCAGAATAATTTTAAAGTTATTCTACGAAAAAAATTAAATTTGAGGTCCCACCACGAAAACCTGAAATTTCAAAGACCGCCGCAGTTTGCTGTAAAAAGGGACCAAAAAAATTCCCAAAAATCAATAATGAAAAAAATTTGACCTACCATGTGCCCATGTTTCATTGGCGGGCTCTTCGTGCCCACTCTTGGTCATGCAGATTACTGTAAAATTCAACGACAGCGAATTCGCAACCACCATGGACATGCAGATCATGGAGACGAAGAGCACCAGGAATCTCGTCTTTCCCGCACACAAACATCCGACCGTCTGATCCTCACATTCGAAGGGTTCGGCGAGTTTTTGTTTCGCGGCCAATTCACGGACTTCCTTCTCTGTGAGCACCACAATGCTATGTTGACGGCTAAGTTCACAGTTTGGAGGCATTTCTGGAGGATTTGCAGGCTTGATAACTTTTGATACTTTTTGATCTTTTTTCTAACTTTCGAAAAAGTCGACTTCTGAGTGCTTCTGAAGACCGGTACTACTGGTTCTGGCGGATTTTTTGACTGGTCGAACGTCCAGCGGTCCAATTTTGCAGCCAATAAATTTGGCGCAGTCAAATTGTAAAGAACTGAAAGAAAGGGGATTTTACAGCGTTAAGACAAGTAAAATTTAGCTATAAATACCCGAGAGACTCGATTTCAAAGTGAGTTCAATGATTTCGAATATAAAATTCGCCAAAATGAGGTAGGCGACAAGAAAAAAACTTTTTTCGTATAAAATGTCGCCAGACCGCAACAAAATAAAAAAAGAGCGCGTGGATTTCTCCAAACTGAAAAATACGTAGTTTTGGAGGTGGTAGTCAACAAAAAGAACCCTAAAATACGAGCACTTACAAAGTCCGAAAGCCCAAAAGTCGGAAAATTCAGCCGATCAATGTTTACGAAAAAGAAAAAAGTGAAAAATAAGGAAAAACGCGAAGAATAATAAACGCCCTAAGGGTTTAAATATCTCCCGTCGACGGAAGTTTCGCAAGCAACAAGTTATTAATAGAATTTCGTTAATCATTTTACATAAAAATAGATCATGAAATCCCGGAGCAAAGTTTATCCAGCAGTTAAAAATATAGTTCATGGCGATCAGTATGACAAAGAAAACCGTTGAATAGATTCCAAGGAAAAGGCATGCATAATAGAAAATTATAATTTTATATTATACATGACGATGCGTTTGTATGAGAAAAATTAGCATATCAAAGGGAAAGAGGGCTGTTTTTACTACTGTCAAAGAAAACAAACCTTATGACAAACAATTTGAGAGAATAAGCAATCGTATTTCAGAGTGAAATTTGGCAAAAATTTTAAAATTAATTTTTTCGCCTAAAATTAATTTTCAATAGCAAATTACTCCAATTTACCCCATATCCGATGGGTAAATCAACCCCGCTGAAACAAGATGAACATTTGTGCATTTCCTCCGAATTCCATCGCTTTTTTGGGATTTAAATTTCTTCCTTTTACAAGCTCCGCCCGCTTTTTCCGAAAGTGCACGCCCAATCCAGCCCTGACTGACTTAATTCAACCGCGATGACGCATATTTTTAATTAGTTCCACTGTAGCGCAAAAAATACCAACGCACAGTGCAATTCCGAAAAAATTGGCGCCGCACTGTGCAGACAAGAAATTTTTTGCCGCACAGTGCAATTTCAAAAATTTCTCCATGCACAGTGCAAACTTGAACAATTTGTCACTGCACAGTGCAATTCCAAAAAACTGGTCGCCGCACAGTGCAGACTAGAAATTTTTTGCCGCACGGTGCAATTTCAAAAATTTCTCCATGCACAGTGCAAACTTGAACAATTTGTCACTGCACAGTGCAATTCCAAAAAACTGGTCGCCGCACAGTGCAGACTAGAAATTTTTTGCCGCACAATGCAAATTTGAAAATTAGCGCACGGTGCAAATTTGAAAAATTTGTCACCGCACAGTGCAATTCCAAAATTGTGTTTGCCGCACTGTGCAAGTTTTAAAAATCTGTCGCCGCACAGTGCAATTCTAAAAATTTATCCCTGCACAGTGCAATTACAAAAATTTCTCCATGCACGGTGTAATTCTGAAAAGTTCCAAAAAGTTGCAGTTTTGTACCAGAGCACTCTTTTTGCCTTTTCCACCACCGCACCGTGCATTTTCATCCATTCCCCGACGCACCGTGCAGATTCTTTGTCGCTTGATTAGCTCCCAAAAATGTCGCGATGAAATGACGTCATCGCGGAATCGGATAAATGAGTAAGCAATTTACTGGATTCCATGGGTAATCAGGGAGTAACAGACAGCCGATCAGAGGTGAGTAATCAAGTTGCTTTAGTTTACTTAAAATTTTTGGGGATACTGTAGCGAAAAAAAGGTTTTTTTGGGGAAAAATTAAAAGCAAAAATACTGTAAAGGGTCTAGAGGAAATTTAAGTACAAAGAGATCTAAATCGACCAAAAAATTATATTATCCATGAGGATCAAATAAAAAAATTCGAAAGAAAAATCTGAATTCTTTCCGCCACAGTCATCCAAACCCCTCACGAAATCCTTTGTTGTCCAGAAAAAGCGTCGAATTCGTAAGACGGATCGTAAAATCGCGTTCTTATAATAGCCTTATCAAGTACAACATCCCGGATCTGCACTGTGCGCTGTCCCGTTTTGGGTATAAATACCTGTCCGTGGAACAAAGAGGGGTCTCCCAAAACCCCCTGAGGGGCGGAGTCTGAAGTTTGAAGACTATTTGATGAGAGAGTGCGGAGAAAAAAGAGAGTGGAAAAGAAAAGGAGAAGAAATAAGGGGAACGTGAGAAAAGGTGGGTCAAGATGGTTTCCCAATAATTTATATTGAATATAATTTCATTTGCATATGCGACGGGAGATATTGAATATGGAAGATCAAAGTTTATCGGGAGAAAAGAAAAAAAACCAAAGATTTTTCAAAGTTTTTTGAGAATATGTAATTGCATGTTACAGTAGGAAAAATGATGGAAAAAGGTAGAAAATGTAAAGCATAGTAATCTTGAAGGATTTTGGATTGATCCTCGACTATATAAAATATGTTGTTTATAATATATTATCCTTAAATCATCAAGAATTTCGAGTTTTTTTTTGATGATCTTTTCTTTGAAATTTTGCTGTTACAGTAGGAAAAGCAGCAAATTTTTTTTCCAACTTCCAATATTCGAATCATCAAGATCGATAACATTTCCTTAGGGCAAAAACTTGGACTTCCACTTTCAAAAAGTGAATATTTTTTTTGTTACAAAAATCCTACTGTAACTTTGAGTTGTAATACTTCAAAAGCACAAAACAACAAATTTCACACGTCTACCGAGAAATGTAAGTGATATATTGCCCTTTTTTCACTCCAATTTACCCAATATCACGGATCAAAAAGGACGTTTCATACAAAATTTTGTGGATGACGTCATTACCATGCGGTTTCATTACTCGCTCTCTTGGAGTGCGTCGACGAATTCATTGACGATTCGATGAAATTCGTGGGCGATAGTCACGTTTTTTGGCAAAAAAAAGTTGAAAAGTTGTGGTTTGTAATGCAGTTACTGTAAAAATGAAAACTACAGACGAAACAGAAATTTTGGATGTAATCTTATAAAAAATTGTCAGTCATCGTTTTTGATTGTCACAATTACAACTAAATTAGTTATGATTACCGAAATTTCAATTGAAATCGTGATTTATGGCACGAGGGAAACACTTGACCCTTTGAGTCAAGTCTTTTCCCATGCGATCTAAAGGCTAATTAATGATGAAAAACTTGAAAATCTTGTTCATAAATTATAGATTAACTCTTAAAAACGTTTTTTGCGTCATGTCGCGTTATTTAATTATGAATTTTTTCAACAAAAACCTTCTTTTTTTAAAATTGAAACAATAAAAATTTTAGCCAAAAACACAGTAAAAACAAACTCGATCACCTTCTACAACCACTACGCTCCTCAGTAAACATATTCGTTATGTTTTGCAAAAGTAAAAACAAAAGTTGCGGGCTCTCGAAGAGCGCGCCCGCTAATCCCTCGCAAAGCAACTTTACAAAAATACGACGTCATAACCATGCGTAAAACAGGCGATCGGAAGCGTCGAGAACCCGCGGGTATCTTCGAGATGAGTCAGAAGGGATTTGCGGGGGGAAATGATCATTTCTTTCATTAGGAAAGCTCACAATTTTACGAGGGAAGGCAGCCAAGTGCGACGCTCAGATTTCGATAAATAGAGCCTCAGTTATTCAGGAATTGATATGTGGCATATGCCCGGTATGTAGGCAAAATTTACGGAAAATCTGGGCATCACACTTAGGGTACCCCCAGTACAAAAACCGCAATTTATCAGTTTTAAAACGCTGTCACTTCACAAAATTGTTAAGAAAACCCCCGTTGTAATGTAAATTTGTCGACGAAAACGCAACAGGTTATAATTTTAACAAACTGCTTTTTTTTATTTTTGCATTACAGTAACCCGAAAAATTAGGAATTTATAGATTAAATTAATTCTGGAATAGCCAAGAACAGGCTAAAATGTGTTCAAAATCAACTCAAAGAAGTTATAATGCTATACTGTAAATTCTAGACTATGGGTGACATTTTATACGAAAGAAAAAAATTATCGTATAAAATGTCACCTTACTTCAAAACAAGGTAAATGTGTTCGAAATCAACAAAAACAAGTTATAATGCTATACTGCAAATTCTAGACTTTGGTGACATTTTATACGAAAGAAAAAATTTTCGTATAAAATGTCGCCTCGCTTCGAAAAATGAACGCCCTTTCTCTACAGTGTATTAAAGTTATCTCAGTGACGTTGGAATTGCTCTAAAGAAAATGATTTGTTATTATTTACCTTCAGAATTTGACTTTTTCAACCGAAAGAATAATAAATCAGGGGTTCCCCAAACTTCTCGAGCCGGTTCGATTCTTCTAGTCGAGAAAAAAGTTTGTATACCAAGAGATCAAACGAAGTTTTTGAATTATTAGACAGAGTCTGTAAAGTAAATAAACTTTGATCTTTCTCATTTAAAAAATTTCTACTGCGTTCTAAAAATAATTGTTTTTTGAACTCCTAGACTGGTGGATAATCGATGGCGATTATTCTATTTTGTCTGACTCAAGTGCTAATATAATCCCTCGATCCGAAAGGACGGAACACACAACTTTTAAAGATCATGTTAAAAATCTAAAAAAAAATTTGGCTAGTCAAAGAAAAAACGGTGAAAAATTGAGCAACTGCGCAATTTCTGGCAAGATTTAGACTTCTCAAGATTTCGTGGTGGGACCAAAAATTGATATATTGGGGTTTCTTCAAATTTTGTGTGGAACTTTTTGTCTAAATCTTTGTGATTTTTAATATGAAAAAAATTAAAATTTAATTTTCTGTATGAATTTTTTACCCTAGGTAA